CTTGTTGAGAATGTGTTTCTGAATGAAACAAACGATAATTCAATGAATGCGGCAAACGATGAGCGTTTATTCTTTCCTGTTTCTGGTTTAATTAATCGTACTCAATGTTGAATTCAATGAGTATTGCCTAATTGAAATTTAGAATGATAAACTTTGTGTTTGAAGTGTGCGGCAAGTAACGTATCTCGACACTTGAAATATGCTCTTGATGAGCGACTGCACATATTGAAAAATCGTTTCGCGAAATGTTCAATATCTTAATTATTGATTGATGCGCAATGATTTGAGCCTAGAAGAGGCGAATGCACTTCTCTTATTTATAAGTGCATCGTTTGCTCAGTGAACGGCGCTTAAGTTTGTTTTTATTTTGAAAATATGAACAGACGTGTTCAATTCGAAATACCGGCTCAATTCATTGACTCTGGCACTGGAAAAAGGTTACCCAAAATAAACACATTTACGTTAAATGAACGAATCAATATCGAAAAGTTAGTTCGGGTGATAATCAATGAAACTTCCATAACAGACAACTTGAAGTTGAACTTAGTGTCTTTTCCGCTTTCGCGTTACGATAAAAAAAAGAGAAACAATGACACGTCTCGCGATAGATTTCAGACGCGCAAATTTATGACACTTTGTTGACTGTGCTGAAGCATAAATTTATAATTGCAATCAGATGTTTATGGAAGTAACTTCATTTGATGGGGCATACTCATGATCAAGTGCAAAGAAATGAGTGCATGCCATGGGAAGAAAATGGGAGATAGAGAGGATGCCGCAAGGGAATTTGCATAAAAACTCACTTAAGAATGGAAATTTTCAATTCAGTCAGACGTCTATGAATTTAATACAATTAAAACTGTATCAGTTGCCTGCGAGATATTAAAACGTGTTTGTACCAAGAAAGTCATTCCGCTGTGACAGTGAAGCGCGCGTGCCACACACACTTACCATATGGAAATATTTGAGCATCAGTTTCCAAGCAACTACATATATGCATCGCGTCATCGAAGCTATCTGTAGCAAAATGCATTTAAAATATTTGTTGTTTCTTTCATTTGCTATGCAAACAAAAACACATTTAACTTTCAATTATTTTTCACACTTTTTTTACTTCCCATTGTTCGTTGGCTCTTTTGTTCTTCGCTTAATCACTACCATGCATGCATATATATCATTCACTGTTTATCTTGTTTTATTTCGAACATATTTTGTATGAATTTCTTATTCCGACACATGACAAAAATATCCATCAAACACGCGCTGATATGAAGCGAATTTTGTGATATTTATCGTACGAATGGAATTCTTATCGTGTCTTCTGGGTGCTAATATCAAATGAAGTTTATCTACGATAAGATCTGCAAATGATTTAAAGTTACATGCGCACGAGGCAACGGGATATTCGGCACCAAAGTTAATTCACATGGAAAATTAAGTTACTTCGCAAATCTCAAAGCAATAGATGCATAGAACAAAACTGCATCTTGACACAACTTGTTTTGACTCAAACTATGTGTCGTCTCAATCAAATGCAGCGAAGCGGTAAATGAGTTTCGGAACAAAATAAGTCGAATGATGCAGTCATCACTGTCATTTATTGTAACCGAAGTTCTGTAATAAAGTGCGTCAAATTTACTCGATGAGTATTTGAAATACATTGCAACTTTGCTTAGAAGTGGAAATCTCATTTTGTGCTTCAATATTGTTCACAATGGGCTTGTTTTCTTTGCGTTTGTTTTGTGTTTCTCTGCTTGAATCACAACCGACTTTCTTAATTAAATTTGAAAATTTGGCACAAACTATACAAAATTTAGATCAAGTTGAGTTGAAACTACCGAAAACATAAGTTTTTACATTCGGTTTGTTTGAAATTGTTGAAAACAAACGATTTTTGCTTTCATCTCGAGTGTACTGAAACCATTAAAATTAATGAATTTCGTTTTCAGAGCGAGAAATCCATTGGTTCTTCAATTGAAATTCTAATCGATTTTTTTTTTCGGCGCTTTGAAATATTAAACGATTCTGTCTACGAAATACACAAAGAAAACGAATAATCAATATGTGAACCAGATGTGTACTCTGACAGAAGGAAAAACCTTTTGTGGAATTGAAATGGGAGCGCTGATTTCTGAATAAATTTCAATTCCATTCAAATTCGTTAGATGAAGAAAAAAACGAATTAATAATCATATTTTATTTGCGTGAAAAATAATTATTTTTTTCAAGAACTTGAGTTTTAAAGAACAACATCCTTTTTAGAAACTCGAACTTCCTGTGTGCAAAATTACTGACTAGTCAGTTAACTAATTTGGGACGTTTTTAGCTTAAATCAACTTAGATTGAAATCATTTAAAGTTGATTTGTCAGTCGATTGCAGTAGAGAAAAATATAACTCAAATCAACTTCAATCACACTTGGCTATAGCCATCTAACGTCCCAAATTAGTCGTCTGTTTAAAGTCAGAAAAATAAACGACTAAAGTCGACTGGGTAGACGGTTTTAGTTAACAAACTTCGTTTTCAGTTGATTGCAGCTAGACAGTCAGTCACATTTTTTCCACACGGGTCTTCTATTCCGAAAGAGTCTGTTAAGGAAAATAACCAATACTTTCATGGACTAAAAATGGGACCAAATTAATTACATATAAAAGTAAGACCAGGGGTGTCTCATTGTGGATTGGGTAACAAAGGGCAACCATTCCACCAACAAGGGTATTGCATGACAACAATGGATTTGTGAATTTATGATAGAAACTTTATTCAAATTCAAATTTATGGAAAACTTACTGTATGAATACGAATTTGAGTTTTAAAAAAGTGGCAGTTTTGTCGTTCTACAAAATCACGAGTGGTTAAAGTAAATCGAGTTTGCAATTCTGAATATTTTAAATATAAATAGAAAATCTCTCACAAGATGCATTTTGTGCATCATTTCCTCTTATTTTATATGGTAAATCTCGTGTAAATTGTAAAACTACATGTGCCTGAATACAAAAACCAGTTCAATATACCACAAGCACACTCCATAAACAATGTATACATTTATAGAGTTTCCATGCGTCAGTTGCAAATTCAAAGCAACAACCGTGCCATGATGATAACCGAAATGACAGTGTCAACACTTGTTTATCACACTGTTTGTTGGATGACATTTAAATAAAACAATAAGCATTCGCTAAACAGAAAAATAGGTGTGTGTGTGTGGGGGGGGGGAGTTGTTAATTCATTGTGTGTTCATTTACATTTATGGAAGATTTTTCCTTTGCATTCATGACTATCTGCTAAAAAAATCGAAACTGAATTAATTAAAATCGATATTGCAAAACTTCCATTGACACTGTCATTTTCATCTGTGTCATCCATTTTCAGTGGAAAATTTGGGCCACAGTTCGAGTTTTGCTTCGTTGTGTGGTAAAAGTTTTGAATCATAAATGCTCTTGTCAATTAGTTAATTTATTCAATTCGGCTCTTGTTGTTGCACTTTATAATGGAGAATTGATTGCAATCCGTATCCACAGTACGCTGGTACTGTGTTTGATATTGTAAAAGTTCAAACCAACTGAACTAGTTTTGCTACTGTTGAATGCTCTTTCTAAATTGAAATTGATGATACAATTCTATTGACGAACGAACAAGTCCAAGAGCATTATGCCGGTTAAATGAAGTTGTTACGAAATCGTTCTCATGCATTTAAATATTAGCAACGTTGGGGTTTCGATATGATACACATGGCACCTTATCATCCGATTTACGATTTTATCACAAATGATAAAGGCTACTATCAACTACTTTCCGTTTATCAGCAAAATTAGAGCCTTATCTAATCATGCAGACGATTCTTGTTCGCAAAACAAATAGACGAGAATATAGTTGTTTGCAGAGACGTCATGGGTCTGATAAATGAACACAGCTGGATTATACCGACTTCAAAGCACATCGAATTAGAACAAGGTTGCTTTTTTTGCGACTACTGCTGTTTCTAATCAAACGTTTATTAAAGATATCTATCTATATCTGCCGGAAAAATTGAACCTGCGCTTTAACGTGAATCAGGTCGGCTGCAATCAAATATAAAAACTATAATCACATTGTTTTGTATCAGACTGGATTGAATACGGTGTGCATAAAGCAAGATAGATTGTTAGAAAAAAATCGCACACAAATTGAATTCGAGTGGTAGCGAAAAAAATGAATACGAAATTGATTTAAATTGCTGGTATCAATTATCTGTGATTATTGGCTTTTGCTTGTGAAACGTAAACTCAACAGTTTTAAACAATTGTTATCTCTTTTTATCTGTCATCAAGTGGATTTTCTTTATTTCACTTGATAGTTTGAAATCACAACAAAATACTGTTTATTGCGAGTAAATTAAATATAAATAACTTTCGGAAAATCATTAAATTGTCGATGAGCCAATCAACTCTTGCATTTGGTAATGAAAATAATAAAAAGTTGGTGACAAATGATGTAACTCAAATTGAAGTGATTAATGAAGTAAAATGTTACTCCTGTATCTAAGCGACGTTCGTTAATATTTTCTACCCTTCAAAACGTTACCTATGTTTGAACATTAATAGCAATAACTTGTTGCCATTTGATTTCCATCGAATTATGAACATAAACTAAATAAATCAGTTGTTGCGATTTGAATGCTCAGTATCTTTGCGATAGATGAGCATATTTTCCTGATAGCCAATCAATTGTGCAGTTTTAGTGTTTTCGCTACTTAAATTGCTCTGCCAATAATACTCAGTTATTGCAGAAATACACAATGAGATACATATTGTGCATTTTCGTGCAGATTGTTCAAATTAAAAGTCGGAAAATCGTTCAAGTACTCGTATAACAACGCTCTTCAAAAAATAAAAATAACTTTTGTAGCATTGAGATTTAGGTTTTCTGGAAAATGTGATTGTCTACGTTTGTTATTTCATCATAAAAAATCAACATTTTTTATTATCTTAAGCTAAAAAAATTTTATCTCTTGATTTTCAGGTCAAAATATAAGCGACTTCGAGAAAGTTTTGAGGACAATTCGTGAACTGTGGTATTCACCACGCAATAACAATAGCATAGCTGATGTACAATATTTACACAACTATTATTCATTCATACAACGGTGAGTCTATTGTCGTATTAAAATCAAAGGTAGTTCATAGAGTATCAAACCATATGATAGTGTGTATGGTTGTGTAGACGAGAGTCAAAAGTTTGTTTTTTCCTTGAAATCAACCTGTGAGTAAACTTGTGTTGAAATTCTCACGGACATTTTTTTACGTACTACAATGAAGGAATAGATATAGATCGGTTCGCCAGTATTTTTGGGTAAACCAAATGCTTTCTATTTGCACTTGTAAACGGAGCCGATTTATTGATCAATTATTAATGTTGTGAAATTAGTGACGCCAGCCACAATGAAATTCAGACGATATATGCTTGAGCTTAGTGGTTGAAAATCGATATTTACCTACACGACACGCAAAAGAAGCAAACACATAATATGTCAAACGAAGGAAAGTCACAACTGAATTAAATTAGGATTAACGACACCACGAAAATAAGTCAATAAATTTTCGATTTGTTTTTTCGTCAAAATTTGTATCCTAAAAAAAGGGTCACTTTTTGACGAAGGTTATTTTTATTTTCATTTAAATTGGCATACCACATTGAAATTTGAGCATTTTCTATTTGAATATTTCAAATTTCCATCTCATACATATGCGAAAGAGACCAAGTGACCAAGCGAAAGAAATCAAAATTAACTGGAATAAATTCCAAAAACGAATCCATAAAGGACCATATAATTTACTGCATCCGAACTATTATCGAAGGCGGTTTCGGTTAAATCGACGATATTGTCGGTATTTATTGCGATGGTTTGTGATGTATTTTCATCGGTGCTGAACAAATTCAATTACAGCTTTCATACATGTACGCTCCCCCTGTATGCTATGAATGCGATAGACGCTTTTCACAACTTGAATGCTATTACGTATAAAGTCTATATTACACAGTTAAACGTAAAAAAAAAATTCGGACGGTGTGATACATAAAAACAGCCATAAAGTAGTCGCATATTTCAAGTTCGTAGCATGTTGGGTCAACGCATTGTATTTATGAATCGATTTACTTCTTTTTGTTGTGTTTAACACATTAAATTCTATTGAAAAATGTGCTTACAAAATCGTAGCTGCGTGCCAATAACAACTGAAACTCATTAGAATATTAAATCAAATGATTACAGTTATTTTTTTGGAAAAGCGACGGAAAAAACCGAAGCATACACATAGTCATGACTTTCATGTGTGTCGATGCTTTGTCATCGGATTGATATATGTACATGTGCGCTTGAACTTGTGTTATAATGAAAAGAATCGGTCCTCACCGATCCCCGAATGTTCCCCAATTCACGACGCCTGGAAACAATGTTTTCGATGTCGAAAATTCAACTGTGTAATTACGTTTATTATTAAGCTTTTTGGCGATACGTGACGATTGCGTGATAAATACCATTTTTTTCTTTTAGTGTGCAAAGCTTCGACTCTCGAAATATTCAAAGCATTTCAAATGCACAGTTCACTGGCGTACGCGCGGCGAATCTACCGAATGGGATGAATGCTTTGAAAACTTTACACGCTTTATGGATTATGCAAGAATTAAGATATATTTTTATTGTCGACAGCATACATTCGTTTTCTTTTCGATTTTCTCGACTTACGACAGAGACTGTATTTGATTAAAAACTCAGAGAAGAGCATTGTTCTTGAGTGCAAATCCATTGGAGTATGTGTCAGCATTGAATTCAAAATTGAATTTTTGGTGAGCGAACAAATGGCTTAGTGCAATGAAACTTTCAATGGTGACAACGGTGCAACACTTCGATTCTTCAAATAAAACTAAATAATTCGTGTGCTTCAAATCGATAAGAGATTAATTTGTTAGTTTCGATTAGTAACAGTGGAGCAACGTTTGGTTTTCGCATTTAAACGTCCAAAGACCGGGATTTATTGACGTTGGTTGGCATTTCGTGCGGTAGCACAAATTAAATTTACTTCGTACACCGCAAATAGCAGATAAGCTACACATTATCTCGAATTGTTAATTACATTTTCTCTTACCGCTCATTTCTCATTGTCTGACATTTTTCTTTGTTTTGGTGGCTGTCTGACAACTTCAAGCTTTGCCGTGAGCTTGTTGATTCGATTATACTTGACATACAATTGGAATTAGTTAAACTTGCAGTATCCATTTATATTGTGAATTATTTGTTCGAAAAACATCCTGTGCATAATTTATGCGAACGAACATTTCGAGATAAAAATGGTTGATTTACCTGTAGAATATCAGCAATTTGCTCTGATCAATCTTATTCGCTTTCACATGCATGAGATAAAATAGATGTGTTGCGTACGGGAAGAGTGTTCGTGACCCGAGGGAATGAGTTTGAATATTATCGGTAATGAGATAGATATAAGCGAATTCAACGCACACGTGTAGCATACATGGTGGTAATACGGGTAGTTCTTATCCGTTCAACAGATAAACTAAGGATGTGTTTAGTATAAAAAATGATAAACTCTATAAAACCTTCTTTAATAAATTGGAAAACATTTCAGAAATGATTCAGCATGATTCGGTAGCGTCGGCTTGTCACTGTGCGTTACTATGCAAACGAATGCAAACAACATTTTACTTGACATCGACATTTTTTTTGTTGTTCGTTCCTTTTTATCTCTATAAAAACTCTCCTTTTGACTAATAGCATCGCATCTACCCTCCCCCATAGCACCCTTCTTTTGTGCCTCGCCGTGAAATATTGCAGTCAACATTAGTTTTGACGGAATCGCTTTGGGTTCGCGTGAAAAATCACGTTTTTGTGCAGATGAAAAAAAACAACCAAAAAGAGTATATTGTTGGAATGGAACGACACAAAATGGTGTTTGTTTGCAAAATGTTGTCTTTGTTTGATATCAATTTACCAAATTAAACATGACCATGCCATTTTTTCTTCATGTTTGTTGGTGGAAACCATTTTGAAAGCAGAAGGCAAACATAAATTTGTACAAAATTTATGAGGTCGATCGAAGTTCTTTAGCGCTTATTGCATAAATCATTTGACTTTTTTCATTCAACATGTACCCATACATATGCGGATATTTCGTCGGTTGTGTGAAAATTTTCCTTGACTTTCGCTTTTCAAGTTATAGAACAACTGAATTGATTTTATACACAACAATGTCTCGATGCCAAATTGATTTTCAATTTGAGCCAAAATAAATACACAACCACTATTTTATTAAAATTGATTTTCATTATTTACTTTCGATTGACATTTATTAGATTATTTATTTATCATGTCACATTTTTTCATCTATTTTCAGGCAAAAACAACTAAATGAACAAAACTTTGATTATATACTAAATTGGCAGGAAAATCAAAGTCCAGAAAATTGCGTACATTTCATGGGATCAAACGCATTCACAACAAATGAAATGATGATGACGCACAATAATCGCAAATTTGATAAAACTTTCGAAGCAATGGCTTCGAACACTACAATGCCCAACAAATCGAAAAAACCACACACAGGATTATTAAGACGTAGGCACTCATTGCCTGAGATAATCATGAGAAGGTTTGTATTTTCTTCTTTTTATTTCCATTTCTTTTGTCTCTCTGCGTATCAATTGCAATTGGGGAATGCTTATCGATGGAAAATTTAACAAGCATTGCAAGTGGATTAAATTGCCTTTTTTACAAAAAAATAAAAAATTCATGAGCACCCGTGGTCACACTTATTATTACATGATTTCGTGTACTCCATCTGAACAGGATAATCCATTATCATTATCAACGCCGTGAAAATCAATTCAATTCGCAAACAAATATGAATTAATGTGGATTAAATGCACGTTTTTATTTTGCGTAATTTGCTGAAGGCTTTTTTGTTGTAATGTTCATTCGCAGCGCTTAATCAGGTAGATGTTGAAAACGAGCAACAATAAAATAGAAAATCGTGTACATTCGTCGAGCGACATGCAATTCTGCTATTATTATTTTTTTCCATTTCGTTTATTTGACGATTGTGTACGAACATGAAAAAATATCGCACACATTACATTGTGCGGCAATTTAATTTTTCCGGTATTTCAAACCATATAAGAACCGACACCCGTTGATCAGAAACGTGCTTTTTCGCCATAATTTCCATAAATCCGATTTGTTCGTTTCTGATTTTTTTTCGTCTCCATTTACTTGAAACATTTTAACGATTTTCTATCGTCGTTTGCATTTGAATGTCGTCATTTTGTGTCAATACGTTTGGATACCGCTTTCAGAGGTCAAAAGCACGTAAATGCTGTGCTCACATCAATCAAAGTCTCGTTTAGTAGTAAAATGTGACGAAATAATTATGTTTACTATTTGATTTCAGGCATCAATTAGCTTCCCAGAAACACGTTTTTTCTGATATGAACGCTTCATCAGCACCGTCACCGCCGGCCCGAGAACGAGTACCTCAATCATTTGAATCACGTGAACGTACACGTACTGCATCTCCGATTTCGTCATTAGGATCTTCCGCCTCAACAATTGTACCAAATGGTTTTGCGAGTGCCGGTTCAACTGGTTCTGATTCAAATTTGAATCGGATATTTCCAACAAATGGTTCAATGCGTCAACAATTGTTGAGACGTCTTTGGCACAAGGAATACCGTCGTCTAGATCGAACTGGTAGCCTTTCACCGCCGTTGCATCGTTCACTTCGCACCAAACGTACACTTCGAATGCAAGACACATCACCCGAAGTGTGTTCAGAATGTGAAAGACTTGAAGTGACACACTTTAATCGCTCCGTTCCGGAATTTACAATGAAACACATTAAACACACAAATTCACTGTCTCATCCAAGGACTAGTTCATCGGCATCGTCGTTGTCGTTTGCACGTAAATCGTACATTGAAACCGAAACACAAAATGAGCGATCTCCATTGACAATTTCTTCGGTATCAAGTGAACGTAAATCATCACCGCCGGCACAAAGTGACATTACGACCACAAACACAAATACAGAATTGGATGTTAGCATAACAGCAAATTTATTGAATCAAATGAATGGTAATATTGTAAATGAAGACCACATTAATGGCAACAGCAGCTCTCAAGCAAACGGTGAAAATTCATTTCTGATTGAAATGGAAGGTGATCAAATTAATATAACAACAATGGCTGCGGCAGAATCAACAGCCATTTCAGAGACAACACTACAAGTTTCGAGCGATGAATCGTCGTTGCGTCACCACGAACAATTGTCCGAATCGACAATTTCACAAATATCAAGCGGCCAATGGTATGATGGTCAACATAATGATAGCAACAACAACTACAACTCGAACGGTGAAAACGATTCAAAATCGAAAATCACCGAAATTAGTCATATGAAAAGTGGTACATACGAAGCGTATCACATGAGCAGCGGTGAAATCGATATTGAAAATGAATCGGTTGTTCGGCTTAAAACGATTAAATCACACGAACCACTTGATCAAAGTGCCATAGATACAATTATATCGCAGATTCTGGTGGACAGTCTGAACAATATAATTGTTGTGCAAGGTAAAGGCAATCAAATTGATTCAAACGGTGATAATATTGTTGAGCTCAATACGAGCCAAACACAAACGGAAAATGCTGTGATGGCGAATGAAAGTTTTTCGCATGTTTCAAACTCTTCACCCTTGCCACTTCCTGTTACCGATCAAGTGTTCTTTCCGCACTATATGTCGTCCGAAACGCTCTCAGAATACTCGACAAAATTGTCCGACAATTCCAATGAATTCTTATCTTCGAATTTGGTAATATCTGTGATAAGCGGTAGTTCGTATCCGGGCAATGGTGGCGAAATCGTCGTACATAGAATGACAGATATGTCAAGAACCGAATCAATGGAAGTGCAACCATCGTCGGCTCCTCCAGTGCATGCGGATGATGAAAATGGAAACCCGATAGCCCAACAACCAATAAAAACCGCAACAACAACCGAAGATGATGATGATGTAACTAGTCTAGTCGATAGTTTAGATGACCCAAATGCAATTGAAAATGTTCGTGAATTCGAAATAACGCCAAATGATTTGAAAATAGTTGAAAAAAGTCAAGCATTCTTTGTTCCTATTGAAAATAGTGATGTAAGTTCTGAAAATTTTCCAACGCCGACTGATTTGAATGCTCCGATTGCGGAAACAATGCCTGAACGATTACGTGAACGCCTACATAAACGACAAATGGAAATTGTTGAACGTAAAGAAGCCGAAAGTAGGCGACGACAAGAGAAAATTCAAAAATTGATAGGCCAGCATGGCAAAAATAAAAGCAGTTCGGATAGTAAAACAAATACTCCTAGTTTTGAAGTAATTCCCGATGAATCTCCGAAAACATTGAAGAAACCAATGAAAGTCGTTAGTAAAAAGGGTAATAGTAAACAACTCCAAACAGAAATTGGATCATTGGAATCGTATACGGTTGACGGCCAGGGCAATTTAAAATTCGTTGAAGCCGGTAAGAAATCGAATGGTGGCAAGAAAGTTACAACTATATCCGGTCCTGTTGTCAAACATGTTACAGTCAAAAAGACAATCACAACCAATCAACCATTGGCAATTGGAAAGAAACAGCGTGAAAATGCGGCGTCAGATAAATCGTCGGCCGAGAAACGGATTAAAGTAACTTCGAACACAACCAAATACCGAGGCAAAGAGATTGTTAGCCATAAAACACCGAAAGATGTGCAGAAAATGTTACTCGGTCAACATTCACCATCTGATATAATAACGCCGGATCGTGATTGTGGACCAAGACGTATGTATCAGAAGACTGAGATTCAAGAGGGTGCAAAGCGAATCGAAATTTTGGAAATTGTTGAATGTAAGCAAAACGAAAAAATCAATTCAAATTAAAATCCAAATGTTGACATATTTCTTTCGATTTTAACAGGTTTAAACAGTTCACCAGATAGTATAAATCCATCGCAGTCATCGTCATCTTCCCCACCAACCGATTCAACTCTATCACAATCATTGGTTGAACGATTCTCAACTAAACACACATCAAAAATTCCAGTTCCAGTTTTGGCAAAGAATAAATCACGAGTCCAGTTGAATGGTGGTGGGAACCAACAACGCACACTCAAAGCACAGATCCGTGATTCAGTGAGTCATTACAATGGCACTGCATTAAATAATTCCAAAGTCGATCAGATCATTGCTGATTTATTGATCGAGGCCCTCAACAATTCGACCGACATAGGAATAGAATTCATAAAAACACCACAAAATGCCACCGCCCAATCACACACCAAAGCAAATCCGGCCAAGCGAATGAGCCTAAGCACACGACGTTCGAATAGCGGTGGAAATGGTAGTGGCAAACGTTCAGCTCATAGCAGTGGAAAATATCAGCATGTGTTTGACTCAATTCCCGAAGAGAAAAGCGGAAGCTTGTCAATTGAATCACCGACCGATGAAAACACCAATTCAACTGCAAATCCAGCGAGCGAAACGGAGATAAAAACCACAACCAATACAATACCATCACATGCCAATAAAAGTATTGAAACTCGTCAAAAGAGTCCCACAAAATGTATGCCAAACGGAAGCCAAAAATCAAAAATTGCTAGTGGCAAAGCAGCCATCGAAAGCGATCAAATTAAATCGGAAACTTGGTTTGGGTGCTTTGGTCGCACTCACGTTGATAGTGAACATCCCGTTGATGGCCTACTTATGGAAGAAGGTATTTTGAAAATAATGCACAACACCAGTTTGGCTGTTTGATGAAGTCTGATTATAATTTAAAAAAACCTAAAACAAGAACCATAATAATTTAACAGTACATGCATTATTATACTGTCGCATTTGATTTTTAATCTCACTATTTGTAATGTAATCTAGAATTTCGTGTGATTTATTATTTGATTTGCATTTTTTTTACAATTAGATGATTTAAAAATGAATCGTACAAATTCAAGATGGAATTTACGTCATAGTTAACCATATTACATAATATTATCAGAACATATTCTGTCGACTAATTCAAGAAATTTTGCTATTCAGTTTTTCGCAGTTACAAAAAAAATGGTTTTTTGAAGAAAAAAAATGAATGCACTTTCAACATTGATTCAATTCAAACAAATACAAAAAGAACATTTTATTGAATAAACTTCTTTTGTTTTGATAGGAAATTTTTGGTTTTTGTTTTCTTTATTTTTTGCTTGATTTTTGTTGGTTTTTCTTTTTTTTTATTTAGCCGTTGGATGTATGTTGTTCGATCCAAGTATTAAAATTAAAAACAAATCTTCTTTTCTTTATATTCTACAAAACTTTCAGTCGTTACAGAAGAAAAGTCTGCGCCAAAAACAGTGTCAGAAAATTCAACAAATGCCCAAACCGAACCAAATACACTTGTATCAACGGCCATATCATCTGTAGCTACAAAAGATAGTGCATTGACGTCTATTCCGAGCGAGGCTCCAGTTCGTGAATTGGAGTCAGTCGGTTCGGATTCAATCTTGCCATTGATTGAAGAAACGTTTGAAAGTTCTGTAACAGGTAATCGTGGCGGTGATGCAGCGAATGGTAAGCCTTTCCGAAAAAATGCACGCTGTTCGGCTCAAAACCACTTTGACGCTCCGTGCAGTGAGTGCGAAAGCATCGAAAATAATCTTAAAGAGCAAGCCAATTCAATAAAAAAGAAAACGTTGGACGCTAATCCCACTGCTAATGATGAGAAATTACATTTGGTGGCACTAAAACCTTCGTGTCATTCGACAAGTAATGAAAATGTATGGCAAGTGGCCCATCTTGAAAAATACGATACGATGGGCAAGTTTATGTTGAATCCAATAACAGTATGTTCAGCCCAAGGAACCAGCACCTTGACAAATAATAGCTCTTTTATTGTTTTACATGATGAAAATGAAAACTCTTCACACTTTTTGCCAAATATTACAAGCGGAGAAACGGATCCAACTCCAGTGCGAAACGGTCAAAATATATTTGATCGAGCAGATTGTTGCTTCTGCAATCCATCGTTGCACCATAAACGACGCAATGGCTCGGAAAATTCACCAAAGAAATGCAATTTTTGTAGTAGTCGTCAACAATCGACACAAACCACACCGGCAACCTCAACACGAAATCAAGAAAAGGGACAATCAATAAATAATAATACGGATACATCTAGACCATTGGTTCCGGTGGAGCGAATTTACGAAAGCAAATATCGATCAAATCATACTCACATCCGAACACATTCCAAGGAATCGGACACAATTAACACACAATGCACAAAGAAAACGAATAGAAAGGTACGAAAATCGGTGTTAAGTGGCAGTGACGATCGGTTAAATGGAAATTCAGAGCTGAATCGTAATAAAACCGAAGATCGCAATGGAAATGAGGTGAATGGCAACAAACCAAGTAAGCAACCAAAATCATCAATACCTAAACTACCACCAGCAACAACCGAATGGATTACACATAGCACGGACTCGACAACGAGCCCAAGTTCATCTAATTCGACCGGCTCAAATACAAAGTCACATTGTTCATATCGAAGACAAGATTCAAAAAGCGTTCCGAATTTGCCACGGACTGAACGTTGGCAGAACGCCACCGACTCAAGTCCAAGTGTTAAACCACAAAAATCACGAACGAATTCTCGTTATCAAAATTTTTACGGCAATGGCACAGGGAGTGCTACGGAACGGCGTGCCAGTACACCGGCTGTCACATCAAATGAGACAAAATCAAAGTCAAAACCTACAGGTAATCTTATTCGATAACTATATTATATGTGCCATTGTGTGAGTGTGTATTGTCATTTCACCATTTTTCCATTAATTTTGAGTGTTTAAAAAAATCAATGTCATTGTATTCAATGTTAATATTTGAGAGAAATTTTTGTTTTCATTTTTTTTGTTAAATTCAATACCCGCATTGGAGATTGTGTTATTGAGATAATCAATTTGTTTACATTTCAAATGCTTATGCTTTTTAATTCCCCTTCAAAATTTGCCCAATAAAATTCAATGTCTGATCAATTCTGCTGTGTGTGATGATGACACTGTTTTTGTAATGATAATAAGGATGGACAGTAACTGTCGCTGGTACATACAGTGATGATATGGCGCCCGACGTACAGATGCATTTAAGTTTTCCAAAAAGAGCTGCGAACCAACGAAAAACCATTGAAAAATCAACAAGCATACCGATGGAATCGACAAATAACAATACAACCGAACTCGAAATTGACACGAATAGCAACTATAATGACATAGACTTGCAAACGCCTGATGCAAAGCCAGCTATACTTCCACCGCCAACACCACAATCCATAAAACTCAATCCAAAGCGTAGTCTAACTAAAAACTATTTAAGTACGGGTAACATTAAAATGCAAATGATTTAAAATTGGTGACGATTTTCCTTCTACAAATTAAATCACACGCAGATCTGATGCAACATCAACAACAACACAGCCAACTGGTGCCACATCGAAAGTTCAGTTTTGATAGTAATGGAAATGCCAACCTATATCAACGTACTTCTGCCAAGGATTATTGCAATCATCTTCCACATATAAATAATGACCATGATCAAGCAAATCGCATAATTGCTAAGCAAACAGCCAAAAAGACGATTAAGGTATTTAGAGCGATTGATTATCCAGTTTTATAAGTACGAGTAGAAAATAGCTGGTTCGGCTTTATGTACTACCTAATTTACCTCCCGTTGATGAGATCGAAATTATAATACTCGCAATAGAAATTCGCATCGAAACATAAAAAAAATATATAAATCCTATATTATTGTTTTCTTATGATAAAAATAAACACAACGGCAGTCTACCTCACTGAGTAAAGAAATTAGGTAATTCACTGAATGAAAAAAAAATCGACAATTTTATTGGCTAATCAATTTGGATGTTATCGCACTGCATAATAATCATTCATTGCCGTCACCAGTGTGTAGAATCTCACGGCTGATATGAAGAAATCATATAACCTATTTGACGTTCACTTGCTTTTTTTCACATTAAATGCAGCACTCAATTTGACGCTAATCAAGTAGTTTTTATTGTTTACATTTCTATATTCCACTTTTGTACCGAATAACTTTGCACGAATGCCATTCAATCCATTGCATTTTGAAGGCTTCTAGTAAAGTTCCCCACAAACGATGGCGCCATTTGATGACGCTTAATAAATAGTAGTTATTATTTTGAAAAAGAAACACTTGTGCTTCTATAACGACAAATTCAAAATGCCTGGACGCTCCTTTATTCGTGCAAATATATTTTGTTCAACGCAAATAGAATGTTTATGAGTCATTTTTGAAATCCATGTTAATTGATATGTTCTATTCATTATATGCTCAAGCGTTCGGAGTATAGTGTGTCAGTGGCATCGGCAACGACTACAACCAGAACCATATCGAATTTCGCGAACGGAAAACGGGCAATGTCAATTCAGGCATTGAATGCCAACTCATTTCAACGTTTCAACAATGGTAGTCGAAGAGGACTTTATGGTCGTCGTGACCATTCTGCTGATCCGGGGTAAATGAACAATTTGTAATTGATATGGATGAAATGATTGAAACCAAAAGTAAGCTAAATCCTCACTCACACTCAATTGCAGGCAATTAACATATCGATTATCCGCATCACCGTCACCTCTTCCATCATCCGCATTCTATTCACCCACAACAATTGGCTATGACGACGAAACCGATCGCAATGGAAACATTAACAGCCGGACAAATTTATCAGTATGTGGCAACGCTATTGCACCAGAGAGAAAGCCTCCAGTACCAACAAACACGGAACGGGACGTGACAAGAAGACATGACGCTTGTTTTACACGCACTCGATCGATCTTTTTATAAATCTAAATGTTAGGGAATGTCCCTATTTATAGTACATATACATATTCCAAACATTTTTTGTTAGTTATTGTATTCATTTTTATGATATTTTATGAAATCATTTAATATAGCTCAATATATATATAGCTGAAAATGCCCCATTGATATTTCATAAAAAAACACAATAAAATTCAGAGAATGTTAGAGTTGTTCATTTATTTATGTTGATTTAATCAATGATTTAAATTGCATTTGTTCGGTTTGCACTTGAAAAGTAATATACGATCAACGCTCCACCCAAATGTGGTTTAAAATGCACGTTGAATGAGATTTTTTTTATATTCTTTGTCTATTTGCATTGCTTATTTTCGCTTCTTCTTTGAACTTGTGTGAGCATCTACAGCAGGCATTGCGGCATTTTGTGATTTTTGTGAGATTTTATTGACGAAGTACAAGGCGAAAATTGAAAAGAGGAAACTGAAATGAAATCAAAGAGAAAAGATAAAAGAAATCCATTGGATGGATGTGATTTATATACTGTACGTACCAAGTAGTAGCGGAAACACGGTGAATTGTACCACAGGCAAACATCGTGCCAACCAAACAGAAGCAAATTTCCGGAAAGAGTTTAGCTTGAAAACCATCACCGAGAACAATTGTCTCGAGGTTCGAAATGGCCTACGGAAAAACACATTCATCAATCATTGTACATAAATCCGAAATTTGAGCTGCAATGTTGTCAATACTATACCGTCAGTGCGAGCACAAATAGCCAAGAGCCGATATAGCCGCCAAGAATGGTGTTTAATTGATTTGATGCAAACCATGGACGATACAGTTGCATTGTTGAAAACAACAAAACCGCAAACACCGATGACAAAACCAACGATACTGTTGTTGATACAGCTACAAAAAATAGTACGAGAAAGGCACAATTAATAAACATAACCTCACATTTTATATGCGATTTTTTTATTTGAGTCGAGATTTTTTTCTTCCTGAAATGATATTGGGGTCGTTTAAGTTAATTTCTTACAAAAATATAAACTAAAACACCCACAGACTCTCTCAAAGCACATAGACGCAATGCGAATAATCAATGTGAAATTTACCCATTTTCACTGCAATTTCCTACAGCTTCTTCGATATAAAAATAATAACTGAACCTAAAAACGTTGAATTTAATTTGTTTTTAGTGTTAATTTTATTAAAATTTCAATAAAAAAATATATAAAAATCGGGCCGGCACAAAATATTCGTATCTTACACTACACGTAAACAAATTGGTTGGTTTTTTGACAGCTTCCCATTTACATTGCGAGTAAGTATGTTGTTCGTACTTGAACGTTAGTTTGTCCCTATCGGTAAAGAAGCGTTCAATTTGCGTCTGTATGTAAAAAAACTAGTCAATTTACTTTTCGTACTTACATTTAAATGAAACTGCTACTTTGGATCAAATCAATTTATTAGAAGATTGACGTGCTTTGAATGCAGCACGAGAAGTCAATCATAAAATGTATGTAATGCGTAAATTACACTCTTATAAATTGCGGTGTATGCATTGCAAATAAAAATCAATCCATCACAGATAATTGATATAAATTGCCGTATAACAACGGCACAATGATATATTTACATGCCGGCATTACACGTTCGGATGTGAATATTTAATGCGTGTGTGTGTATATATGTTCGTACTGGTGACTGCGAATCGCTCGTTGGAATGGATTCTTCATAGTTTTGTGTGAACGGTGAATCGTGTAAGTAGTTTCCAATCAGAAGAAGAAGCAATTTCGCAGTTCCCCTACATAAATCAGCGCAAACATGATCTCACACTGTGTGGCGTCAACGTTTGCGCGTAGTACATTCGTTGCCGATTCCATTCAACGTTTTCAGTTGCAAAGTGTTCGTCAGGCGGAAAGGTTGCCTTTGCTTAGAGCGTCAACGTTGTTTACACTATTATTTTCCCATTAGTTTCTTGCACAACATCATTCTTGTGCCCACTACGGTCACCTTAAACGGTCAGTGAAATAATACCAAATACAGAATAGACTACTTTGATTGAGTAAACTCGATATCGATTGGATGCCTAATTTACAAATACGACAAATCCGAAAGTTTTTCCAAGCGAAATTGAACAAAAAAAAAGAAAACAACAAAACTTGTGTTAAATGAGTGAAATTTTGTTGTTTTACAAATATTTATTCAATTGTAGTGTGTTATTCAATGAAAATCATTTAGTGAGTAAAAAGAAGCAAAGCGTTTAATATATTCACACGAAGATGTTAAGAAAATAAAAAGTATTTCGATGTAAAAAAAAGAAAGATGCTTCGAGGAGATTACCCGAGTGTATATGATGGCCGATCTAAGAGATAAAAATTAATACAATTACTCCTGAATTTGCGTGCACATTCTTTTAATTGCATAATTGCACGTTTCATTCACCAGTGCATAGCCACCGCCCGTTAAAAACGTTCTTTGTATGCAAGTCATCAACGTAATTGTTAGCATATTTAGTGAACGTCCGTCCTAGTTTTTTTGGAAACAAGAAAAATGGTTTCGTATTGAGTGAATAGACAAACGATATTTCGATTTAATTTTCATGTAAACAGCAGAGAGCGCCCGGTTTGTATCGACTCTCAAAATAGCATACGGTTTGAGCGATTGCGAACGAACGTAGGCGTATTTTTTTAATTTGCGTTCTTTTGAATCTAGTGTTGAAATTTATTTCACACCATAGAAAATACACAAATTCAGTCGTAGTCCGCATTGAATTAGCGATGTTTTGCTCTTTTAAGCCGATAACATGCGGCTAATCAATACTTAACGTTGTTTTTTCTACTTTGTTCTCTTTTAGAATGATAACACCGCATTGAAACATGTCAATTTTTCAATGACAATTGGCAATCAAAGGTGAAAGTTATCAAATAACATGCAAATCTTAACTTTTGCTAATTATGTTTGAAACTGGAACAAGGCGTCACTGGATTTCTTTCGCAATTCCACCAAAAATATTCAATTTATTCAAATGTGTTCGCCAGGTCACTTTTTTCCCACTTTTTTTTCATTCAATTCGAAACATTTTCAATTCACTCGATTTTTTTGGTGTTTCCAAGGCATACAGTTCAATAAATAATTCACAATCATGGCGCTATCATTTTCTATCGATCGATTACACACTATCCATACAAATGATAATGCTTACGGTTGGCGGTGCCCGAGTAATGTCATATTTACATTCACTGATATTTGTTTGTTTCGTTTTCATATTGAAGAGATAAAGCTATAAATATCAATTTAATGATAATAATCAAATTATCTATAGTAAAATATTGAAAGTCAATCAAAAATAAATAATCATTATTAAAATAAAATGCGTAACAAATGTTTGATTTCAAAAATCAAACTAACTGTATCGATAATGAAATGCACGAGTGAATTTCGTGAACTTTGCATTGAAACGAGAAAATTTCATTCGGCGCTGTGTGTATGTTAATTCTCAAATTCAACGTTTAATTGAAACCAAAACAAAATCGATGCACTCAGTCTAGCATTCAGTGTAAACCTGCTCAAAGGAAAATACCCCTTTTCCATTCAGTTTTTCGTTGTCACAACAATAACAACAGAAAAAAAGCAAATTGGAGAAAATAATTTATCGACCGTAATGTAGAGAGTTAAAGCATATGCATTTGGTACGGTTAAAAGACCGGGAATTACCTGAAATTGGTATAATAATAATAATAATAATTTATTTATTTAGATTTCTCCATAAAACAACGTTACAGTTTACATAGTTTTCAATTAATAATTTTCCAATACATAGTTTTTTAATTTATTTTCAAATTTTTTTATCGAATCAATATGTCTAATTTCATTAGGAATGGCATTATAAAGTTGAATTCCCCTATAAAACAAGGCATTTTGGCTACATGCTTTAGTTGCATTTGTGACTGCTATGGTATTTGCTCTTCTCAAATTTCTATTGTGAATTTGTTGTCGATATTCGATTCTATTGGTAAGGTAATTAGGGGCTAGTCCGTTCACGGTTTTATAAATGAATAATAAAGTTCTAAAAATTATTTGTTGCTTAACATTCATAAATTTCAACGAATCAAATAGATAATTAACATTAGTATCACGATTTACACTTAAAATTTGTCTCATACATTTATTTTGCAAGTTTTGTAGCCGATCAATATTAGACGAATTGGACAGAAATAAGATAGATGCACAATAAATAAAATGTGGTTGAATGAGTGACTTATATAAATATTCTTTTTGGTTTTTGTTAAGTTCATTTTTTAATCTACTTAGAACACCGACTTTTTTACCCACTTTTTTACAAACATATTCAATATTTTTGTCAAATTTAAGTTGGTCATCAATGATAACACCCAAATACTTTATTTCTCTCTCAATTTCTAGTCTGGTGCCATTTATGAATATGTCTATGATGCTACGATTGATTTTTTTATTTGTAATTATCATGGCTTTAGTTTTATCTATATTCAATTTTAATTTAATTTGGCATAGTTTATCAAATAATCTGTCCAGATCTTCATTGAGTTTTTGAATGGCTTCATCAATATTAATAGCACTAATGTATACAAATGTATCATCAGCAAACATTTTAACGGTGCAATGTTTAATACAAGAAGTTATACAATTTATATACAAAATAAATAATAATGGGCCCAAAATGGATCCCTGTGGTACACCCAAATTATTATCACGTGGCTCTGAAATTACGTCGCCGATCTTAACCGTCTGGCTTCTGTTTGTTAAATAGCTCTTGAACCATTGAAGAGATAATGGTTGAACTCCGTATTTTTTTAATGTTTCGATGAGTAAATTTGGTTCGATGACCTCAAATGCACGTTGAAGATCCAGGGAAACTGCGACGGTAATTTGCGATTTATTTTGCGCATCTCTCAAATCATATAGCACATCGTTGATTGCTGACTCACACGAATGTAAAGCTCGAAATCCCGATTGACATTGATTGAGAAGATTGTTTGATTGAACGTACATATTGAATTGTTTGTGTGCTAGTTTTTCGATGACTCTTTCAATGCATGGTAACATATTTATTGGCCGATGTTCGTTAATGAGTACAGTTCCACTTTTCTTCTGAATTGGCAAAATTGTTGACTGTTTGAGTGCTTCAGGAAAGATCCCGCAGGTGAACGATTCGTTGATGATATTGGCTAATTGTAGGCCAATAACAAAGATCGCATCCCACAATACGGTTGGTTTGATAAAGAACTCATCTGTGTTGTCTTTCAGTTCTTTGATGCACGATTTTATCTCTGATAATGAAACATTACGAAATTCAAAAGAGAGATGTTCGTCAGCAATGATGTCATTTACATAGATTCTAAGTGGTATGGATTCGTTCAGCTGAATAATGCTGGTCACAAAATACTCGTTGAATTTGTTAACAATATCGATATCGTCATCAAATGTTTGGTCGCCGTTTTTAATATATGTAATTTCACTTGAATCTTTGCATAAAATTGATTTTAATACTTTCCAGGTACCCTTTGAATCACCCTGCACGCGATTTAGTTTATTTTGGTTTGTCTCATATTTTTTTATTTGTATTTTATTTTTATATTCATTTTTAAACACTCTGTATTCATGCCACTTTTCATCCACATTATATGTTTCGTACTGTGCAATTTTATACAAACGGTTCTTTTCAACTCTCATATTCTCCAATTCACTATCGAAAAAATTGTCAATATTACGGATTGTTATCTTTGACTTAAATTGATCGGTGCTCAGGCTTAAAACACTTAGAAGCCAATTCATTTTATCATTCAATGATGCTCGTTCTACATAATGCCAAGAAAATAAATACGACTCAATAGTATCACAGAGCTTCAAGCGGTCATAGTCTTTCCATACAGATATTTGATGATTCTTTGGCTTATTAGTTTCACATTTACCAATTAGGTTTATTTCCAATAGTGCGTGATCGGATATTTTGTCGTCAATCGAAACAGAACACATAATGTTTTTGGATGCAATATTGGACAGGCACAAATCTATTAATGTCGATGAATTTTGTGATACACGAGTAGGGTTGTTTATTAACTGTTTCAAACCGTTGTCATCACAGAAACTCTTCAGTCTTCTTATATAAGCCGAATCAGCATTCATATCAATGTTGAAGTCACCACATAACATCACAGTTTTATTTTCTGGAACACTTTGATACCAGTTTTCAAAAGAATTTAACACTAGATGTTTGTTCTCGCTTGCAGACAAATATATACCAGCCATAAAAATTGGTCTTTTTTTTACAATTATGTCAAAGGACAGATACCATGCTAAATGTTCACTTATTACAGCTAAATTGTCATATTTAATTGATTTATGGATAAATGCACCGACGCCACCTGTATGTTTAGAATGTGACAAACAATTCACAAATATATAATCTTTAAGTCGTATATCACCAATATCACAGTCGTGGGTTATATGAGTCTCATTAAGAAAAATTATCGATGGATTTTTTTTCTTTATCACATATTTTAATTCGCTGAAATTATTTCGAAGGCCTTGAATGTTTGAGCATAAAATATTAATTGTGGAAGATAATTGCTATTCTGTTGTATTGTATTCGATTTTGTTGACTAAAGATTCGATGCGTCGCTTGTAGACTGGACAATCGGTACTCCATGCATGATGTTTTGTGTCAATTTTAACCTTTAGTTTTTCATTGGCTGAACGGCAGTTTGCACAACACATGTTACGGCTTTTGCATTCAGAGTATTTATGTGGCCCACCACATTTGCTGCATTTTTGATCATGCTTACAATCCTTGGCAATATGCGAAAAACCAAGACATTTGTAGCAGCGTTTCACATAAATGTGTTCATACACATTGCATTCACGCCACGGCAAACGCAATGTATGCATTTCCATCAGCATTTTATATGTGTCACTATTCACCTCAATAATAACATCACACGATGATTGTTGTTTGCTTGTTGCTTTTCTTTTGAGAACTGTGATAAGCGACACGTCACAGTCAATTAGCTCTTCATTATTCTTTTTCAATTCATCAATGATATCTTCTTTGGCAATATTTGTCGGTATGTTTGTGACACGTAATCTGGGATTTTTTATTTTCGGCAACACAATTTCATATTCATCACCTAATTTTTCGTTGACCAAAGATTTCACTTTCATTGTCTCTGTTGCATTTGCACACTGTAAAACTATGCCACCTTCTCTGACGTTCCGCGTACTGCACACATCAACAGCAGCAGTGTTTACATTACTTGTGATTGCTTCAAGTGTTTTTGCACATTCTTGCTTATTTTTCGGCTTAATCACGACAACTGGTTTCACATTGCTCCGCTTCACAACATTGGCAAACGAACATGATGCATGTTGCGAGGTCGCATTCTTGACAACTTTGGGTGTTTGCTTTTGTGCCATGATTTTTTTATCCAATGCATCGAGTGATGTTTTAACGGCTTTGATCGATTCGCTGTTGATATCATTTTGAGGTTTGCACTGTTGGTTGAATGCATCCAACTTGTATAACAAACGCACAACCATTTTCAATTTCTCATCTATTCCATCCTCACGTTTTATAATGCATTCTGGACAATAAATCAATACACATTTGTTACCACGACGCGCGTTGTATGCCGCTTTTGTGATGTTGTTGCACTTAATATGGAAACTTATTTCACAGTTGTCACATTGCATGGAATCGTCTCCGTCTAATATGTCTTTATCACAAACGTAACACACCAAATCTTCAATCGGTATTACAATCGATTCATTTGCCATTTTTTCCAGCTCCGATTTATCACAATTTATTAATCTTCACTTTTAATTAAATTGATTACATTTAAAACATAAAATTGCAAATTTTGGTATCAAAATACACAATAAATATTTAAAAAAATGATTGAATTTTACGGAACGATATTACTTACGACTTGTTCAGAATGCAAAATAATGATAGAATGGAAAGAAAAGAAAAAAAAATTACGCGAACAAATCACGAATCCGAATCTATGCACTGACAAATCGTAAGTGTGTGCGGTCGACGACCTTAAATCGCTCCACTTCTTGCTCTACAATAACAAACTCAAACGGTATTATTATGTTCTTTCGCTCTCTGTGCGCTGGACAGCTACCAGCATTACAAAAAAAAAACATTATAAAATACAGCTAAAAGTCTTGCTGCTTGAAAAATTGTAATTCGGTTTTGTGCGTGCAGAAAAATCATTATGTTTTATTGTTGTTGTTGTTGCTGCTGCTATAATTTGAATAACAAAAGTTTGGTTGAAAAAAAAACACCAGTTTATGCTCGCAAAAAGCCAGGCACTTGTGTGTATGGAGTCCATGCTGTGGACACAAGTGGTGATTCATCAGCTGAAAATAATTCATTAAAGTAATAACAGTCAGTCATCCAATAAGTGTAGCTTAAGAGACAGAATAGCCCATATTCATTCAGTCGATGCCAGCGAACGGATGCACATTATTAAAATACCCCAAATCCATTGAACTGCGTATATGAATCGTACTTGCTAACCCTAATTCTTGAGTTTGCCGTTGTCGATGTTGTCGTCATCGTCATCACAAATTGTCGCACAGCTTCTGCAATATATGGCACATCCATTAAGTAATAGTATACTGTACTGTAGTATGGAATGCCATACTGTGTATGGCGACCCATTGTATGTTTAGTCAAAATTTTATTCATTTTGCCGTTTGTATTCCACCATAAAAGAAACATGTAAATAATTTTCATGGGTGTTGAGTGTGAGTAACGCTGTTATTAGGTGTGTGTTATTTCGTTTCAAGTATTCGGCGGCATATATGAATTATTGATCATGCGCATTCGTAACGCAATGTGTACATCTTCGACATCATATCAAAAACATTGTTCCGGGTCTCTTTTTTTTAATAAAAGACATAACAAACGATTTATGTTCCTGTTGCACGCTCAACACTCGTGCATAGATGATTGCTAGGAGGGCTGATGGCATATACGCTGAGTTTCCATTCAGCATTTTTCCCCCTCTGCGGAATCACTATTTGATGCGATTTATATGCGGCTTTCCTACTGTAATATAGATGATAAAAAGTTTTTGTGCAACTTCTATCCATATTGCCTGAGCGTGCGGTGCGATTGAGTGCAGATAAAGATGAGAATATGTACGACTGAAGCGTGTAGATTCCTTAATGCATGGTATTATGGGCTTATTGTTTAGTTGCATGATGCTCAAACGTCATGCATTTAACCATAATTTCGTTCTTATCGAAATGAACAAAAATATATATATTCTCTATTAAATAATTATTCGTGAACATCGAACTTGGATGCATATACAATTTTTTTCCAAAATGCTATTCCATCGGAAATTCATTTCTTTTCGATTCATCATATACGAAAAAGAAACGTAAAACATCATTCAAATATTTCAAGCTAATTAATAGAATTTGTTGTCTTAATCTAAACCGTTTCTGTTTTCCACTTCCTTAAACGTGCACGTACCTTGACGATGGCATTTCAGAATCGTCTACAAACAAACATTTGAATGCGAAAAAACCCAAGTCTTTAAATGCAACGATTGTCTGTTGACGACGTAATGGGCACAATTGACGGTGATATTACGCAAACCAAAGAGTGGCTTCCATCATCACAAAGTCATTGTCATGTGTGGAACGTGTTATGGTCTTGTGACTTTCGACGCATAATATTTTTATGCGTATCACATGCAGCGGAAACTAAAACAATGAATCTTTCATTCGGTTCTTTTGTGTTTGTTTTTTCTTTCCATCGTTTATTTATTCTTTTAGGTTAGTTTTTAGTTCTTTAATCAATTGCGTTGTTTCATGTTCGATATTTTCAATTTCACAATCGTATATTCTCGCCAAGTGGTTTAACAACAATCATAGCAAAATAAAAAAAACTACTTAGGTGATATGGTGCGATGATTACGTCAAATACACATACATTTTCGTTGCGAGAAAGCAATTAAGCAAATCGATTTCGAAAGGGATAATTCAATTTTTTGTTGCAAGAAATTCCATATATCCATTAATAACTTTATAATCCAAATCGAGTAACGACATTCTGTTTCGCCAGTTTGAAAATCGAATTGCACGCTCGATTATAGATCAAAAACATTAGATTACAATTTATCAACAATGAATAACTTAAATTTAACATGGTTTTCATACACAGCATGTTTCTGTACATATTGTTTCTATATGTTTCACTCCATAAAATCGACGACAATTAAAAAAAAAATTCAAAAAAATTGTTTCAAGTTTTGTTTTTATATTTTTACCTGTTGATTTTTCAAATAGTCGGGATAAGACTTAAAACCTATTTGAATGTATAACAAGAAGAGTTTCATATAAAGTCACCATATCTAAGCCAATTCCTCATTTTTGCCAGTCAAATTCCCATTTTTGACACACGTTTACACTTTGCCGTTATTTTTGTCATGTCTCTATCAATACACTAACCAAAAAAATACATGCACATTCTTTACGATTTGCATGTCTACAATAGCAAAAGTCAGAGATGCCCGCTTCCAAAATTGCTTCCCTTTAACTTGCGGTGACGTGGAGGCAACGGAGCTTGGATGTGGTCAAACGAAAGGAAAAGGAAAAGGCACAACTTTTACAAATGTTTAATAAATAAATGAACCACAGCAATTTGTTCGGAGAATGTTTTGACCATAACAACCATATATGGTTGTTTGCCGCTTGAAACGATCCACTTCTTTGATTGCAACTGCAGTTGCAAATGCACCAGATCAAATCTTTACACTCTCATGAACGGGAAGCGTGAAATGTTTTAGTGTTTATGCTTTGTGGCGGTAGACTCTTATTGGTATCATTGCAAATAGAGAGTGCAGCAGTTTCATATCTGTTTCGCTTAAACGAAAGAAATAAATGGGAGAAATTATTGTTCGACCAGGTTTTTTTTGTTCGAAATTGATATGCTTCAGAGACTAAACTTAGCATAAATCTCGATGCTCATCATTCAACACAATGCCATCATACAGAACAATAGAATGTCACGCTTCAGTCATCAGGCCGTGTACGAAAACACACATTGTGGCTTTTGCAGTCTTTTTCATACATTCACCTTTCATTCACAACTCTCACACAGACACACATTATACGCTCAAATGTGGCATGAGTCTTGAACGATGAAAACAAATACGCATCGACTAAATCAACAGATTATTATGACTTGCTGAAATTTCTTCACGGAGCGGCGGATGAACGTGAAATTGTTTACAAATAATAATGAAACATTCAAGAGAATTTAAACAAACGCCTGAAAATTTTTCGCAAATATTTCATTCGAAAGTTGTTTTTTTTTTTCTTTTGTTTGGAAATGAAAGAAATAGAATTTTACACGCATAAAAACCATTGACGTTTATGACCTACGAAAATGCAAACACTTGTCTTACACAAACTTTATGTGCGAGAATCTACGCACACGATGTTGGAAGATGATGAAGTTTATAAGTTTTTCTTGAAAAATAATTGCCACCATAAACTTTTATAAATGACCTTCTGCTGATTAATTTGAACTTTTCTACATTTTTTTCTGTAATAAAAAAAAACTCGAATATATTCATATGAATGCAAATCAACAATACAAATTTCAAAGCCGATATCATTTCATCTCTTTCGTCTGAACACCGATTCGAATAGAAAATTACGGCACCAACAAATTTGTTCTAATTTACAATGAGCACAGCTTGCGTGAAATATTGATGAGGTTCAAGTGTTTCCAATTCTTGTTTCCACTTCAACGAAAGCCTGTCAAGTTTTTTTTTTACAATCAACAACATCTGCTCAAATTTTACAAATACCTTTGTGAATTATACGAACAAAAAATTGTGGTGATTTTGTGTTTGGTTTTTTTAGCACATTGTGCTGGCGAGTGCGTAAAAAATTATAGATATAGCGCCAGCAATTCTTAATATTCAGTAAGCAAGTGGATTACAAGTGGAATTATCATATTCTTGAGCTGTAATTTATTTTGATGCGAAGTCTGAATTGATTTATAAATGATAATTAGTTCAATACTGGTGTGAGTTGAATCTTAAGTTGATACAAACGAGGGAATCAGTGTCAATTTGTATTATGTTGAGAAGAAACGTATGCTAATAATTCGGAATATACATTTTTTAATTGCTTCCGAAGTGTATGTCCAAATTGGAATAGAGATTTTGGGTCGTTTGATTTGTTTACAGTTAATTGAGCATAATTACTTTCTACGCTCAATGTAATAAAATATTCTTGTGAAAGCGATATTGGATTATGTCAGGCATAAAATTATTGTAAAAGGCGGCACAAGAAAAGTAACGATGATACGATGATTGTAATCTCGGATTTCATGGCTTTCTATCTATTGCCACGTTGATTTGTGAATAATAATAATAACAATTTGTTGATCGTTAGCGTTTTTTTACAATCACTTCAGATAATTGTATTGAATATCTAGCACCAAAATCCACTTGTTTCTTGTAGCTTGTTTGCTTTTGAAATGCAAACAAGAAAAAAATACTCAAAAAACAATTAACATGATAATGAATACTTCTTCTGTGAGTTAATTGCTCTGCTTTTTCGTTTTTCTTTCACTTCCAGTTCACCTATTTGCATTCACATGTGAATTGCAAAGTCTCTCTCTTGACTTACACATTTTTTTGTAAAAAAAGCCATTTTTACCGCATAAGAATGAAACTTCTCTTATGCAGTAATTTATAGTAAATTCATTTTCGTAAATGTGTTCCATTTTTCGCAATAGCTTCATGGTTTTTGATGCCATAAAAGTGTTTTATTTAGATAGTGTTACAATGAGACATTCATTTTTCACATATTACCATTTCACATGCATTCTAGTCGTATTTCCTAAACACTTAACATTTTCGTCTATTTTAAATTTCAGATCATTTGAACAGTGCGCAAAAACATCAAGTGTGATAAAAATAGGCACACACCAAACACAACTGACACAAATAGCACAATACACGATCAGCTGTAATAGCAATTTCACATACATTGCTCGTTCGAATACTGCAATCGAAAGAAAAAATCGTCAAAATGTCATCACCACAACCGACACCTGTTAAAAAGATACCGATTCATTTACAGGTACATTGACAAATATCCGGCCCATATTTTTCATTGTTTTTTTATTATTTGGGTGTTTTTGTTATTTTTCAGAGTTCGCAAAGTCGTCTCTATATCAAACGTGGTCAAGTTGTAAACCATGATAGTACTTTTGCTGCTGACATTTACATCGAAGATGGAATTATTAAATGGGTTGGACCGTCTGGCGAATTTGTCGTACCCGGTGGCGTTCGAGTGATTGATGCAGCCAATCGTCTTATTTTGCCAGGTGGAATTGATCCGCACACACATATGCAACTTCCATTCGGTGGAGCAGTGGCTGTTGATGACTTTTATCAAGGAACAAAGGCTGCAATTGCAGGCGGAACTACGACTATTAGTAAGGCAACAACGCTCTTGACTCAAGTCGAATAGATTAATTAATTTTTTTTTCATTCGCCAACAGTTGATTTTGTGTTGCCAAACAAAGGCCAAAGCCTCTTAGAGGCGTATGATCAGTGGCGAGCATGGGCCGATCCAAAAGTTTGTTGTGACTACGGTTTGCATGTTGGAGTCACTTGGTGGTCAAAATCCGTTCGGGATGAAATGCGCATTTTGTGCGCTGAACGTGGCGTGAATTCATTCAAAATGTTCATGGCATACAAGGGTCTTTATCAATTGGACGATTCCGATTTGTACGATGCATTTGAAGCATGCAGAGATTTAGGAGCTGTTGCTCAAGTGCATGCCGAAAACGGAAGTATAATCGCAAAGAATGCAGCAAAACTATTGGCCGCAGGGGTCAACGGACCCGAAGGTCATGAGCTGTCACGAAGTGAAGAAGTTGAAGCAGAAGCCGTCAATCGTGCTTGCATTATTGCTCATCAGGTACATTTATATTTGTCAATGACAATGTATTTTTTTAACATGTGCACAAATTTCTGTTTTTTTATTTTTAATTTTTTTTCTTTTCATATCCTCTCCTATTATTATATAAAACCCAAAATATGTACTGAAATTTAAAAAAAAATGTAAATCCTTATGTTTGATTAATCTATACATGTATAATATTGATTTGGTGTTTGCGTTGTGGGTAGGTTAATTGCCCACTCTACGTTGTTCATATTATGTCAAAATCAGCAGGTACCACACACACACACAAATTCCAAATAAAAAAAAAATCCACATAAAAATCAATAATAGCTAAAATGATTTGTTTAATAAAATTCCCGGAAAAGCGATTGAAATCGCTCGTGCTCGTCGACGTTACAAGGGTATTGGCATTTTTGGTGAAACACTCGCCGCTACGCTAGGTAGCGATGGAACGAATTGCCATCACTCATGTTTCAGACATGCTGCAGCACACATTCTAAGTCCACCTCTAAGACCCGATCCAACAACACCTGAATTTGTTATGAAAATGCTTGCAAAGTGAGTTAAACATTTAAAAAAAACGACGTAATTTTATATCGAAAAATAATCTAGAAAAAGCGGGTGTTTGTTTTACTTCAACATTGTGGTGTTTCTAAATTCTAATTCAAGGAGAATTGCATTCATTTTCATCTTTTCCATAACAACATCTAATTGTGGGTCATACTAAATAAACTAGCTTTATAACTCATTAAACACACAATTGATTCAGCGAATCAATCAATTATTTAATCAATTCATTTGTCAGTGATTTGTTTGTTATGATTATTTGTATCAATATTTATCGCGAAGTTTAATCAATGCTTCGATCATTTTTTCATTTTCATTTTAATGGGCTCATCACCACACCTAGGTTAAGGTACCAATTTATATAACACGGATGACAAGTAAATTGGCTGCTGAAACGGTTGCTCGCGCTCGTTTGCGCGGTATTATTGCTTATGGTGAAGCTTTGGCAGGTGCTATTGGAACCAATTTACATGGTATAAAGCCTACACAAGCTATTTATTATACTACAAGCCCTCCCATACGTGCTGATCCAGAAGCGCCACATTTCTTATTAAAAACACTCGCATCGTAAGTATGAACCGTTGACATTCTCATATGGAATTCATCTCATTTTTTGCTTTTGAGTAAATTTATTAGTTGTAAATTGGCTTGCAATAACCATATTAATATTTAACCGCTACTAATTGTCGAAACATATATTGCCAAATACTAAATTGATTACATTGAAATACACAGGGGACATTTGCAAACGACAGGAAGTGACAATTGTACATTCAATAAAGAGCACAAAGAATTGGGCAAAAAGGATTTCACCAAAATTCCAAACGGTGTGAATGGTGTTGAAGATCGAATGTCGGTGGTGTGGGAGCGTGGAGTGGAAGCGAGAATTTTAAGTCCACAAAAGTTTGTTGCAATAACCAGTACAAATGCGGCAAAAATCTTCAATATGTATCCACGCAAAGGTCGTATCGCTGTTGGATCTGATGCCGACATCGTTGTATGGAATCCAGAAGCGACTCGTGTCATTTCGGCTAAAACGCACTATCAAGCATGCGATTTTAATATCTTCGAAGGCATGAAGTGTCACGGCGTTCCAGAAATCGTTATCGTTCGTGGTAAGGTTTGCGTTGAAAATGGTCAAGTTCGTGTTGCCGAAGGTATGTTTGAAATGATAAAATAAAATCATATCTTTATACATGGTTTATAATGATATCGTAAAATGTATATCGCAACAGGTCAAGGTCAGTTCATCGAAACGCCAGTTTATCCATCATATGTGTACAAACCATTAAATGGTAATTCGAATGGCGATGAAGCTGATAATGAAGACCACGAAAATGGCGACGATAAAAATGGAGCTATTGAAGAATTGGAAATTGAAATTCCACCAATTGAACCAATTACAAAGTATTTGGCTGGTCCAGCGTTGAGCATTACATCAGAAACCAAATCAACAGCTCAATCCATTACCGGAGCCAATCGAGCACCGCGTCAAGATGGTCAACGCAATATGCAAGATTCAACGTTCTCACTGAGCGGTAAGATTGACTCTTTTAATACCCAAAATGTGACAAAAATTCAATTTTTCTTTCGTTTATTTTGCCGAGCAGAAGAGTTGGATAAGACTGGTCCACGTGCAACCATCAAAGTTCGTAATCCACCAGGCGGAAAATCAACCGGATTTTGGTAAAGTCATCTCAAAATACACCGAAAAATGGATTAAGGGAACATCAGTAAAACAATATAGCAAAAAAACATTAGCGATTAAGTACAAATAACATCCATGAAACCATCAACATATGTATAATCGTATCTTCTTTCTTTCGATACTATCCCATTTTGTATGTAATATTACATTAAACGGATGCAGCCTTTGTATCGGAAAATAACGTTAGACATTGCATAAGCTTAAGTTTTGTTCTTGCTTCGAGTAATATATTAAATTCATAGATGAATGGCAACCATATGAATGATTTTTGATAGGAATGTGTTAGAGCACAATATGGAATTTAACATTTTTAATATAGACGACATTCATTTTACAAAAATCATTCGGCTACAATCGATTCACCATTTCATCATAGAAAATTCCAAAGATCTAATTGCTTTTTTTATAATCGGTACATTAATATCTACAACAACAAAAAATTATGGGGTTTTTATGAAAATTCTTTGTATTTGTACAACAACATATTCAATAAAAATAACAAAATCAATAAATGATCATTTGTTTTCGTTTCGCTTTGCCGTTTCCGATAGATACATACTTAAACGGGTTTGGTGATTATGATAAAATCCATAAATGACTTTTATGGAGTATTAACAAAATATAATTTAATTACGAAATTGATTAATACGTACTTCATGTATAATATCGACAAGCCCTAAAAATACCATTAAATACGTTATCTGGAGCAAATTTTGGAACCTACTTATGAGCGCGAAAGACATTAACTACGACGTACTCTCGGGATATTCATCATGCGATGCAACAAGTTGGAAATAAAGTGTTTTTATTTGAAAAAATATTTTCACTATAGCAAATTATAATATAACATTTTCTTTGACTGGATGTCTGGCATTGTGTGCTGAAATATTTTTACACGCTGTATAATCGTATGCCTGTTGCGCATTAATCGATTCACCGTATAATAAGTACCTTGTCCTTCTCGACTTTATTCCGTTTGAACCTTTGCTTTCCAATACCTGAATGTCAAATTTAAGTGAGTTATCTTCTGCTATGGAAAATACGCATTGGAAACTGATTTCACGAAAGCTAAACCAAAAAAACCACTCAAAAACTCAACTTTCACTCAAGCATAATGAGTGCTTTTTTCATTTCATCGCCAAGTTAGTCGATTTTTTTTTTTTTTTTTTTTTTTTTGAACAATAACTTTCTTATCGCCACAACATGTGTGGTTCGAAAAAAAAGAAGTTCTTTTAATTGCAACTAAAATATTTGAGCCATTAAAAAGTTTGTTAAACTCTCATAAATTTAAATTAATGTCACCGAAAATTTTTCAATTAATTCAGTTTTTCTTCAGATTCCCGCTTCTTCAATCGTTTCGTTCACTGGATTTTTTGCTCAAAACATGCAATTTTAATATATGAAACACGCAATGTATTTGGAAAGGAAAGACTGCTCCTCCGTGGACACTTGTTTGCGGCGCCGCATTCAAATGAACAACTTTCTCCATGGCCCAGGTTGGTTTCCAAAAAGTTCCTTTTCAGTCGTGTTTTATTGCTGCTACAGACAAGTCACTTTCAATTTCCATGCCAAATTTAAAGTAACTTTTTTTTTTATCTAACATTACAAAAAATTTCATTTTCATTGTACAAGCAAAAATGTGAGATCAAACATAATAAAACTAAAATTTCTCTCTACTTTAAGCCGTGCATATTTTTTTAAGAAATAAAGCAATTTTGTGTGTGAGAAAAAAATAATCTACGGGTTTTTTCTTCGATATCGTGTTCTCAATGTAGCAGAAATCAGATAAATGGCACTTTGAATCTAAAAATAGATGAGCTCAACGCACAAGTCAAAAGATATGAGAAAACGGTGTGCATTTTAAATTAAAAAAAAAAAAAAACAAAATTACCGTTTTTAATTCGGTTTTAGTGTTTTCAAGAAAATTAAGTAAATTATAAATGAGTGGAAAATGACGTGAAGCTACAGAAATTTTTCGAAACGAACAAAAAGCAACATTTTTTGGGTGGGAAAGCACAATTATATGTATACAAATGCACGAATATATAATATGAATATACAAGCGATATGATTGCGAGAGGGTTTGTGGGGTGAGATACGAAAATAAAAGAGTGGATTTAACGAGACATGACTCTCGCTTTTTTTTAATTTTACTACGTCGAAATGTAATTATAATTAAAATGAAAGAAGAGTGTACTTTAATGCATGTGCGACATTGAAACTATATCGTGGTGCAGATATGAGGTCATAAAAAACAGACTTTAATTATTTATATCAAGAAAATTCGAGATTACATTCCTTTTTTGTCTCGAGAAAAAAAAAACACCACACACACCTCTGGAAATTCTTCAAATGTTGTTAGCACTTGATATTTGGCGTGAATATAACATGAAAGAAACATGAAATTCAAAATTAAATAGATTCGACGAAAAGCTTTTTAGCTATTTCCGTGCAATGAATTCATAGATATAAGCCACAAAGTTGTAAATCAGATATAAGCAACATTGTACTCGAACGACGAGAGAGAGAGACTAAGAATGAAAAAATGTTGAGTGTCGAGAAATAATTCCATTTACGGATAAGCCATGCAAAGTATTTTCAGTGGTGCAACCAAAAACCACACGGACTACATAAGTTATTCGGATGGAAAGTGTGAAATTCCGCTTTCAACAAAATAGTTCACGTTCATATTTAGCATCTAGCTATTTAATATTGCAGCGAATTGTGAATAATAACCCTTAAATTCCAATAAAAAATGGTTTGGAAATATTTTCATAACATTGTGCAAATTTAGCTTAACCGATCAAAATTTTAAGACCAAACGAACAAACCAAACGGAAACAAAAAAGCCATCACCACCAAAATGTTGAGTCCAAAAATGCAAAGGAATGTTCGTGTGAACGACAATCAGCTACTGCATTTAGCGGATCGAGCAACATACGACCACTCAATGGTAAGTTCCATATCATTCAATCGATCATATTTTTTGTCTGAATTGATTAGGCTCAATTCCGTGAATTGAAGTAGTTTGCGAAAAGAGTCAAATATATCATGTTCTGTCCATAAATAAAACGAAATACTACACTATACTTAACTTGGCCTCGTTTAACTTATTCATTCTATAAAAAAGAATACAGTTTTACTTGGCGAAATCGACGCGTTCATCCATAAAATGAACATCAACTAAGACAATATTCGGTTCAGTTCAACATAATGGCTTTGATTGTTATGTTGTATTGTTTTCCCGGGCTAAAGGTTATTCGATGTGCAGTAACGAAAATACAATTTTCCAAGTATTCGAACCGTGCCCTGTGTAAAAACGAAACCAATGCTTGAGATTCAATTGAATTGGATGGTAGTTTCATAGCATTGTAATATAATAACAACACACACACACACAAAATCAATATCACTTTTTCGCTTGCTTTCTTTTCATTTTTAATGAGCAAACACGTTACAAATTTCCATCTAATTCGGAAGATGGAAAATGTTTTATTGGAAAAGCTTCAATTCTTTCAATCAATTGCTGAACCAAAAAAAAATGTTCGACCAGCAGCAAAATCAATATCGACAGTATTCTTTTATAATCAATTGTTCTGTACTAATTAACTGCCATTCATTAAAATGCTGGCTGGATGGAAGCCATCGTTTAATGTTGTATAGAAAGAAGCGTCAAACGCACAGTCGAATGAATCACGAAACATAGAAATCGTTTAGTAAAAAAAAATGCGAGAGAAGGATTCGGTTCAGTGAATGTGTAGAAATAGTTTTCGTTCCATTTCATTATTCTTATCCAGCGTCATTTTCCATGTAATGCAAAACATAAGAACGAAAAAAAATATGTGTGTGAGAACACCGTCACTGAGCACAAACAACATCGTACTTGATTTGCTCAAATCTGTACAAAATAGGGCTGTTTACAGAGTGATTCACGCTGCTTAGTGATCCAATTTTATATACCTAAAACACTAACAGCAATAACGTATCCTAAATTCTCGAGCACTTGACTTGACTGGTAAATCTGGATCGAAATCATGTCGGTGTTGGATTTATATATATTCTGTAATTAAATGCAATTGATTTTTTGATTTTATTTATTTAACCTTGTTATATATTTTTCGTTGAAATTTTAAAATTAACTTTTAATAACCCATGTGAATACTCTTATGTTAATAGAATTAATTTTATATTTACTCTTCGATCGAAGTAATATCGTTCAAGCACGATATAAAAATTGAAAGTTTAACTAGTTTATCAAAAAAAAAATCATTTTACCTCACACAATTTGATCTACTTTAATGCCTAAATTAAAGTGTCATAGATCAAAAATACGAGAACACCCAAATGATAAACGCAAAAAATAGTGCAATGGCCCGTAGTATAGTATTTCAATTCATGTAAATTAACACTAGTTTTGTGTTGTATTTAAATGATTATGATGTGTTTATTATGCATCTTAATGTGGTACTGCTTTCACCTTTAATCGAATCGTTTCCTTTAAAATTCAATTAAGGTGCTACACAAGCAGAAATTTCGTTGTTTGTTAACGCTATGGTTGTGACTTGGAGGAAACGTGCTGCGAACTGTGGCGACCTTCAAAAAACTTCGAAACCCATAACCGACGTCAAACCTCTTTTTTTCCTTACATTTCTATATGTATACATAGAGCTACAGGTAAAAATGCTCACGCGATAGAAATACGGCATACGAAAGAAAAAAATATGCTTATACATGTCGTCACATCTACGATACTGTAATATTTCCAGATTTATATTCCTCCTTGATTGTCCGTAAAATCCGAAACAAGCGTGTCATTGTAAGAGCAAAATAGGCGCTCCAAGCAACTGACTGACACACAATGAAAATATTAAGCCTGGATAGACTATATAGCCTATAATAAAGTTGCCTTATGTGTGCACCCAGTGAACAGCGTACACGCGCCCGTTCATTCTAGTATATAAATATATACATAATACAATATACATAAAGTAATGAAAATTCCGTTGGTTCCATATCTCCAATTTATGCATTATTATATCTCTACCTATTTTCCATAAAAAGCGTGGACATCTCCAAAAGCGGACTTCTGATTGTAATCGCTGGCAAATGCGATGGTTTGTTCTCTACCAGGTACTTGAGTAAATTAAAAATACAAAAAAATAAAATTAAATTGGATATTAAATGGATGGATGTAACTTCATGGAGGTTCAATTTCCTCGTGCTCGTTCTCTATCTCTCGATTTTATCTGTTTGCTTATCGGTATTTCTGTTTCTCTCTCTCCCTCTCACTCACTCTCGCCCTCTCTTCTCGGTATTTTAAAATTGCTGCAGAACCTTTTATTTTATTACGATAATGAAAACTCAACGAAACCATCTGGAATAAGTAAGTAAATATGATAGTAGTAACAACAATTCATCTAATAACAATTCATGTGGTTAGTATTTCTTGAGGGTTCATATTGTGAACGATTGACAACACCGCCGTCATGTGTTGGATCACCAGTGGCAAAATCATCGCAAAAAGAAGAAAAATTACAGGTAAAAACTATCAATTTTGTTTGGGGGCAAAAAGTGGTTATTTACTGTGGTGGAAATGTTGTCAACAAAGTAAATCTTTTATTCGTATGATGCTTAATAAGCTAGATTGATCATCACTCGAAATGAATATTTTGCGTGTACGGTTTTTCTCGCCTATATATATTTCTTTTTGTTATTGTTTTATTTTGTGCGTGTATCCAAGAGATTAGTTGGTTAACTTCATCCAATTTCAACCGAATAATACACTCAATAACTGTATGAATATGTTGAGTGGTTCAGGTAGCAACACAAAAAAGCTTAGCTCAATCCATTTACTATGGTATATGTACGTTATACGCATACAATACACCATATAACATTCACTCCAGTACACTGGAAAATTGACACGAGCATGTGCTACGGATGTATACAATGGAAGGGATACAGCAAAAGCGACATTCTACGCATAGCGTACGCACTTGATGGAGAACGATTTTTGAGTTGAAGAGCCCGCACATTGTAAGAGATAATTTGACCTTGACATAGTTACTTGAACGCCAACAAGTACATTCGGTGTCTTTTTCATCATCAAACCATATGAAGTAGACTCTCACATTAGCTTCATACATTTATATGAGATTTATGGCATATAATATACGAAATCTCTTCAAATGAACGATTCAATTTGCTTGCGCTCCACATATGCGAATACCTTGTATATGCTCCGAACATTCTGCAGCCAATTTTTCTCACCTTTCTAACGAGTTCGTTTGATGAGTGCAAAAAAAAGGAAACAATTTCTACATACATGTATCCCGTCGTGAATATTTTCGTTCGACTTGAGAACACAACACCAGTGTCATGTTAACCGTTTTTTATGTTCGTTTATGTTTTGTTTCACAAATATTTAAATTGCGGAAATCCTCAAAGCTGAATATAAAATGTACTGGAAATAAAAACAAATATATAATTTCCGTTTGTGACACAATTTTTATGTTTGCTTTTTGTTTCAATTTCGAGAAAAAGCTCTAAATACGTTATTTTATTGGGGTAATAAATATGGTTAATGTCAGCCAATTTTCTATTGAATACGTCACAAGAAACTGCTTACACAACAGTCAACTCAATTGAATGTGGTGGTCACCACACCGTGATGCGCAATTTCAATAATAGCATTGCTATCGATAAAAATCTGATTTGAAAAAATTGTCAATCAAATTGTTTATATTCTGGTCAATGTTTACAGCATTGCTTTACAATTTCCTATCGACGCGAACACCATCGAAACTATGAACTGAAAGCGGCCCATGAGTCTGAATGCAATGCGTGGATCGGTGCGATAAGGGAGGCAAGGTAATTATCACTTCTGAATTGTGACGTGGTGCCAACCTGAGATGATATATGATCGTTTTGACAGAAAACTTTGACTAATTAACTTGATATTTTCGTAGCTTCAATAAATTGTTGTTGCAAAAAGAAGAACTAGAGCAGAAACATGTTCATTTATTGCAAGTTGTGGAAAGTGAGAGAACATCAAAATGGCAATACACTCAGCAATGTGAAGAATTATCAACGGAAATTAAAAAACTACGAAATGAGGTATGAGACATTATTGTGAACATAAACATGTCAAAATGAACACGGACAACCCTCATATTGGGATTGTATCAATCAATCATTCGTGAAAAATGGAAAATGTTTTATGTTTAAAATTTTCTCAACGTTTGACTCATAAACAAAGTTAAATACAACACGTTTTTATCTTATTTGTTTATTCAATGTTATGCTAAATAGATTTTCAGTTTGCGAAAAGAGTATTCAAAGCGTCCATCGATTTGCATAAGTCCAGTTAAGTTTCGTCGCGAAAGTTTTGGAAGTAATATAGCCGCTAATGCCAATGGGAGTGATATTGGTGAATATTAAATTCGACTTTTGTTTGGGGATTTTTTTTCTGTTGTTTTAAAAAATTAATTGAATGTCATTGTAGTTGGCGGAGTTGGATCGGCATGTACAAGTTCCCGGGGAAGTATAACTGCTGAAACGAGTCGTGTTTATTGTCCGCGTAATGATTGTTGGCACATTCATGAGAACCAAGAACCGGCCGAATTGAAGAAAATAAAAAAGGTACCATGCGCTAACGGCACAAGTCGAATTTCCGAGATGAATTTCAATTTCATAAATCTAACTTTAGGTTCAGTCGTTCTTCCGGGGCTGGCTCTGCCGAAGGCGATGGAAACAAATTGTCGATGAATATATCAATTCACCGCATGCGGAAAGTATGCGAAGACGTAATAGTTTGGTATTTAGCATGGTTGAAAGCGAAGAGGAGTATTGCGAACAGCTTGAAGTGTTGGTCTCATGTTTTTTGCGACCATTCAAAATGGCTGCAAGTTCCAAACGGCCACCTCTGACTCACGAAGATGTCAATTCGATATTTCTAAATTCCGAAACAGTATTGTTTCTTCATCAAATTTTCTTGAAAGGACTCACGTCTCGGTTGGAGTCGTGGCCAACATTAGTTTTGGGTAATCTATTTTGTGTTGACCGAATAATAATTTTTGTGGTTTTTGTTTTGTAGTGTCAAACACAACGTAATGAAATCTCTTGACTTCCCCAGGCGATTTATTCGATATGCTGCTGCCAATGTTGAGCATCTATCAAGAATATGTGCGAAATCATCACTATTCATTGCAAGTGCTCACTGAATGTAAGAGCCGAAGTGAGTTTTCAATTGTATTGCGACGTTTGGAATCCAAGCCAGCTTGCAAAGGACGTTCATTGGAAATGTTCCTAACATACCCAATGAGTCAGGTAAGTCGATATATTCCGTATACTCACCTATCACGTGTGTACGTGTCGCATACGTTTGTCGTTAAAAATGAATAAAGTGGTAATAAAGCTCAAATATGCAATTAATTATTTCAGATTCCAAGATATATCATCACATTGCACGAATTATTGGCGCACACACCATTTGACCATGTAGAGCGAAAGAGTCTTTGTAATGCGCGCCAGCAATTAGAAGATTTATCACGTCAAATGCACGATGAAGTGTCTGAAACAGAAAATTTACGCAAGAATCTAGCCGTCGAACGTATGATTGTTGAGGGTTGCGATATATTGCTCGATGTAAATCAAGTATTCGTACGCCAAGGCAAGTTTCAATATACCAAACCACTCTTACAAACACTATGTACATATTGTATCCATAAATATATTCAAACGATATGTTTGACATTTTATCGAATAGAGCGCATTTATGCTACCGTCATCATTTTAAGTAAACATGTATATGCTTCTTATACCTTCTTTGAAGCATCAGCACATTTCATAGCAAGCATTTTGAATACATTTTTGTGCTTACATTCTTTTTTTGATGTGGAAAACGCATGAACAGCACCTTTCTGCCCCGTTGAATTTGAGTGTTTAGAGTTTTTGCGTTATGATTTGTATTTTTTGGTTGTATAATTCGAAAATTTGCAGGAAGTCTTATTCAAGTACCCGAGGGTAAATCACCATTTCGTCGTCGTCTATCATCAACATTCAAGAGTGAACGCGAGGCGGTGCGCCAATGTTTTTTATTTTCTAATTACATGATAATTGCCAATAGGTGGGTTTTTCAATTCATTTCAAAAGACATCATTGCATGGGTACATTCGCATACGAGCATGTTTGACATGAATACTTTCATTTTAGAACGTCGGGAGGACGATTACATTTGTTGCAAGATGTTGGCAAAATACCCTTGGCAGATGCAACATTGATTGAAGAACCAAATGATTCGGACCGAGAAGACGACGGTAAGACCATTATATATTTTCGAATTGAAATCATTGGATCGGTTTTTAAATCACAATCTATTGTTGGTAATTTTGTAGCCGAAACCGACGTTTTATCGCAGCGAACGTTTCGTAGTAGTCTAAGTGTAAATGAAACAATGTGTACGGGGAATCGTGATTTTAAAATAATGGTTGTAACTAAATCAGATGCAAGGCATTGTATTCATTTGGTTGCACCAACGGTACAAGACAAGGAAGCGTGGATCAGCGACATATCGCAATGCATTGATAATATTCATCTGCACACAATGCTCTCGCCAACAACTGAATCAATCGGTTTGTAATTATGAACAATTCGATGTCGTGTGAATGTATGTTCTTGTAATGCGTGAATTCTATTAAAGCTTCTTCTATAGGTCCACAGCTAACACTGCACTCCGATCCAAGGCTCTTCACGGACGATATAGATATAAGATTTTCTCGAACTTTAAATTCCTGTAAATTACCGCAAGTGCGATATGCAACACCCGAACGTCTACTACAACGTTTAACAGGTATGGAGAATCGCATTTCTTTTTTTAAAAATTATATTTGATAAAATCTGCAGACGCGTTGCTCGGACGAGAATATTTACTTGAAAAAAAAAATCTTTTTTTTTTTGTAACAGATTTAAGGTTTCTCTCGATTGATTTTCTCAACACATTTTTGCTGACGTATCGAGTATTCAGCAGCGCTCAAGAAGTGTTGCAGGCATTGAAAGATGTCTTTGACGCGGCACAGCCAAATGGAGATGAAACTCAAGAGCAAATAAACGAACGCCTTAATATACCAAAAGGTGAGGAGAATATAATGCCTCGTCGAACATCGGGAGCGAGCTCTGTTTCAGGTATTCCATTTAACATTTTACATTAAAAAGCGAAAAGACTAAGCTTTGAAATTACTTTCAGGCTATTGTTCTGAAGTTGGTGACCGTGATCGGTCAATGAGTACAGATTCAACTGCTTTGAAATTGAAATTAAGCACCATTGATCAAGACACGAATGAAAATAACTCTGATGATACGCCACCAATTACGCAAACCACAACAACTGTTGAAATTTCCGTACATCAAGAGACACCGACAACGCCACCAGCTCATTCAGGTTTCTCGCCAACTACAATAATAACCACTTCAAGCAGTGTGGATACATTAAACGGAACTACGCTCAATTTATTAAGTGGACCATCGTCTCCATCGAATTTAAGTAGCGTTACACTTGTCGGTTCGACCGGATCCGGTTCGGCACAGGATAATGAAAAGGATACGGCACAGTTTAAATTTTCTCAAGCACCAACGAGCCCATTACCGGAACGAAAGCGTAAATCAATTGCCAAAGAGGATGAAAATAAAATTGAAATAGCGCCTAAGGCTGAGAAGTCAACCACTGATGTAATAAGTTCGAAGCCGAAAATCATATCGGCTGTTGAAAAAAGCATTTTGAAAGATGAAAGAGGTGGCGGCGGTAAACCATTTTCGGTACAATCAACACCGAGCAAAACGAGCAGCAATGTTTTACAGCCGATGAGCTATTTAACAATGAATCGACGACCAAGTGCTGGAACTTTAATTGGTGTGCCAGTTGCGGCCTTATCACAGCATCGTCGAAGCTTACAACTTAATAGCTCTGAAGGGGGCTTTGGTGGAATTCCAAAGGTAAGCATATATCAATTACGCAGAAATTCGATTCGGTGGATTTTTCATTTCTTCAACATCAATTTTTCAGTTTTTTGAACGCCCTATCAGTCCCAGAAGTGTTCGACGTACTTCAAAAACCGCTGAAAAAATTAAAAAGACCCTTTTCGGAACACCTTCAAAAGATGGCTCTAGGTGAGTAAATCTTTTTTTCACCGAACACCAATTATGTTTTCGTGGAAAAATTATATATGGGGAAAATTTCGTATAAAAAACATTATTTTCCACGTGGCAGACGATTTTCCGAGAGTGATGACGACGCAGCGAACAGTACTGCGTTTTTTACAACACCACGTGGTTCGGTTGGTGGTTCATCCTACGGAACGATTTCTCCACGTGCATCAATTCAGCATGATGCCATTCCATGCAGCAGTAAGGTTGGCGTCGTAATCACATCATATAGACAATCTCATCGAAGGTGACTTTATTAAAAATATTTATTATATTTCCAATTAATTTGATATCCATCGGCGCGCGGGTCGCAGTCTTCTGCGTAAAATTTATAAATTAGAAAATCGATAGCATTTGAGCAAACTAGCAAATTCAACGTAAGATCAAGTGTTTAGAAATGCAAGATAAAAAATTACGAAATCACAGGTGTCACGAAATCGAATGTTTTACCGATTGGGAATAACACAATAGCCAAACAAATGCCGACTCAACCATAAACCATCGATCTTCTTTCAGCATTGGAAACAATCTTCTTTCTAACGCTCTATTCTTAATGCCAATTTTATTTTTGAATTGTATTTTCATATTATGGAATTGCAACACTTTGTTTCAAAAAAAATTTCTCTTGAGTTTAACACGTTTAAAAATTGAGACAGATGGTGTTGAACTCACACCATCGTTCACTCTAATATATTGATTGCATTTTGTTTCGTTTGACATTAGATGTTTTTGTTTGATTTCTTTTTTTTTTTCATTACACTATGCTTTTCTCTCGTTCACTTTGTTGCGAAGTTTCTGTTAGGTGTTCGTAAAATTCTACCTTTTTCTCTCTTCTGTGATGATGGATTCGACAACGATCTCTAAATGTTTGTTCACAAATATTTCATAAAATTACGTTTAATATTTGTGAACGAAACAGACTCGTGTCCAATCTATAGCGTGTATCCCTTTTTGTTCTTCTTTGTTTCAAGCAATCGAACGCAGATGAATCAATAAAATAATGAAGCATTTTATTCAATTCGATGGATCGAAAACCAACAAAAATTGACAATGGAAAAAATTGCGATTATTTTGATGTTTCATCTCGTGATATTGAATTGCTCTTCGTTAACCGAAAAGCTAAAACTTACTTCATTTATATTCGAAAAAAAAAAAGAAAAACCTTTCGATCGTATTAATTCAATCAGAGTGATTCATGTTGTTGTTTCATTTATGGTGAATAATATGAATTGGTTCATTTAAACATGAAAGTAAACATGATTATTGTAATTTTTGATCAAAATTATCATTTATTATCATCGTAAAACAGTTTTGGACCAGACCCTTTGTGGTGAGTTTATATAATAATCTCTTGTTATATTTCTTTCATTTTCTACGCATCACTCCAACGTAGTCTAGCTTAGCAAATACCATGTGATTTTGAATGTTTGCATGTCTTAGATGACTTTTGTGTTGAATTGGCTAGTAAATTGCGTAGAATGTATTTGTCCGTTGACTTGTAATTTTTATGATGTTTGATTGAAACGAATGACAAATTTATATGATTTCAGTCATTTGAATTTGTATTTGATGGTCGTCTTTTATTATAACGTTATTCGCGATTGTGTAATGATAAGCCTCTTTCTCACTCTATGCGTGCTCTAATTGGATTAAGAATTTCTTCATCATTTTCTCTTTTTTCATGCTCTTTTAAAATCTGTTTTTTTTTTATCATTATAAATCGTATTTTTTTTTCAAGTCTCTATTCATTTTTTTAAAATTTAATTACGAACAAACAACAATTATTTCCTCATCCCATTAACTAGATATAGATAGGTCTAGATAGTTCGATGGCGCTGGTGAATAACGAAAAAAGAAGAATAAACGGCACTGTAAATATTTCGTAGAGCTTGCGTAAACCATTTTGCTCTTCATTAATAAATATACCTTTATAGGAGTTTTAGTAGTGAAACATATTTTTCAAAAAAAAAAAAAAAATGCTTGGTAATAACAAATTATGATGAAACATGTTTAACGACATTATAGTTATTATAGTTCTTCGGTAATTTGAACATTTTAGTTACGTTTTAGATTTAGAACAAGGGCAGGTGGCTGTTTCTGTAGCTTTGAATTCTTTTTATTTCACTTCTAACAACAATACACAAGGCAATTTTTAGAAAGTTTCAAGCATAAAATGCACAAAACACAAAAAAAACATCCATGCTCACACAATCCGCAGTGTTCATGTGGCTGTTCAAATTTGTAACTACTGTATAAACACCCTTGTTTGTGTGTTTATGCAAACTGTAAATATATATATATATTGTTGAAAAAATACCATCGCAAACAGTAAAAAAAAACATTAAAACCAAAACCCAACACTTGTAAATAAAACAAATATGGCTGTAAATTTAGAAGAAATTTCATTCCAATTGATTTTCCCACATTTTAATATAATTGTGTTGTCTATGGATGTATTTAGGAGTAGCACGTCTACTGCGGCGGCGGCGTTTGCAATAGCCACTTCAGCATCCAGTAATCCCCGTGACGATGCATTCGAACAAGCGACCATCAAAGAAAATGAAGAACGTAATATGGTCAGCTCTCCAGCAACAATTCGTGTTTTGAATGTATTGCGGTATGTGCAATTCAAGCATGTGTAAGACATTTTCCGAATATTTCGTTCTTTTTTCATTACAGGCATTGGATTTCCAAACACTTTCAAGATTTTGCACAAGATGCTGAATTAAGAACCGAAACTATAAATTTTTTAGAAAGAGTAACAATAACCACACACCTATTGCCAGTAGAAATTCGAGCCGCCGAACAGCTTATTCGGCTTTTATGTCGCGACGATATGAAAAATATGAAAAATAGACAACAAAAACTACAGGAACTATTAGAACCACCAAAGGTAACAAATCAATCGTTTCTAGTATGTGAATGGTAACTAAATCATCATTATTTTATTGTAGAGTCCAAGCAAAGAAAGTATCGAAACGTTATCGGCTCTCGAAATTGCTGAGCAAATGACATATTTAGATCATCAGATTTTTGTAAACATTCGTAGCGAGTAAGTTAAATAATCATAAATATAAATGGTTACGCACAATCATTGATTCAATTCACGTTTTTAGAGAGTTTCTCGGACAGGCTTGGATGAAATCGAGCAAAAAAACGCAAGCCGAACACATTTCACTAATGACGAAGAGATTCAACGATGGCACAAGGCTTATTTGCTCAGAAATCATATCGCGGTGCGTACATATCATTTCTTAGTTTAACGCTTTTCAACGAACGTTCTGCTCATATTCTTAATTTATGAACAGGAATAATATGCAAGCACGTGTTTTGGCCATCGAAAAGTGGACTGCTGTCGGAGATATCAATCGTTGTTTACACAACTTCAATGGAGTTTTACAAGTCTGTGCAGCTTTTACAAACGCGGCCGTTTTTCGATTGAAGAAAACATGGGATAAAGTGCCAAAAACGGTTCGTTTAATTAAATCCATGTCTCTTGCAATTTAACAGAATATAAATTGGAATTTTCTTGAATATTCAGATCAAACACACAATATCAAAACTTCAGGCAGTTGTTTGTTCGGATGGTCGCTTCCGAAGCATGCGTGAAGCGTTACATTGTTGTGATCCACCATGTATACCGTACTTGGGCATGTATCTTACCGATTTAAGCTTCATTGAAGAGGGCACACCTGATTTTACACCCGATGGCCTGCTGAACTTTTCCAAAATGAGAATGGTGAGTATGTGTGGTGGATTTCATCCAGTAATCTTATTGACAAAAAACGTTTGATTTTTATTGTACTTAGTTGGCTCATGTAATTCGGGAGATTCGTCACTTTCAACAAACTCCCTATAAGATCGAGCACATACCAAAAGTAACATCATACCTTCTAGATGCATCATTATTATTGGACGACGATGAATTGTACTCGAAATCACTGCAGATTGAACCGCGAACATCACGCTTGAGTGCACCAAATACATTACTCGTCTGAAAGTTCATCAAAGATAGTATAGACATTGAAAAATAAATCGGCATTCATTTCTTATCATCAGTTTATGTTCATTATCCTCAAGATTTAAATGTTAGGTATTATCAAAATATAATAAGTGGTTTAATTCGAATTTCGATTTTGGACGAAAAACAATTTATTCTATCTTAGTTGGAAATTATACGGAGAGAGGCAAAACAAGTGGCTTTAATTTTAAAAATTGATAACATGTTATAAGTTTACCTTGTTTTCCTCCAAAACTGAATGAATTTAATTCAAAATTCGATGTGATGAATATTGAATATAGATAACGAGTTGCAAACAGTGACCGGTTCGCGCATATTTCTATGCTTGCCTAAATACGCTAGGTAGCATAGATATGCCAAGCATAGCCGCAAACGCAACCGACGCATCGCCGTTCACTCTATATGAACAATACACATGTTCGTTTATGCAGACGACCGTGCGCATACAATATAGCTCGAATCGAATGGTGACGGGTGCGTTGCGGCTTGCGTCTCCGCTATGCTTAGCATAGCTATCAGGCATAGAAATATGCGCGAACCGGTCACTGGTTGCAAATGAATTTCAATAATTTTCTGATGCGCTACTTTTGAAATCAAATGAATGTGCGACATCATTATTTGGGAGTTTTCGTACCTGTTATGTTTTTTTAAAAAAATAATCCGCGACAAGTTGATAGTGAAGTAAAATAAAATGGATCAAAGTACTTTGAAGTTAGAACATTTCTAGAAATTGCAATATTTCCGCGCAGTATCATTAATATCTCCCATGGACCAAAGCGGCTGCTGTTTTTTTAAATGGCAGACGTGGAAAACGGGCTCATAAATTCGAGATAGTTTTGTAGATGAATTTCAAGTGCGTTAGGTGTAGTTAAATAAAATTATTCAAATGCTAGAAATATTAAAATATTATTAAAGGCCATTTAGCAGAAAAATGCAAAAAGTCTGACCAAATCAGGCAACAATTTAAATTAAACGCTGAAAAAAAGCACTTATAGTATGTTTGCACCATAGGAATAACAATTTTGGCAATGTTTAGTATCATTTAAGAGATTCAATCGAAAGATAAGACGTAAACTTTGCTATCTTTTCTGAAGAATTTTTTTTCCCTCACAGTCAATGTCTTTTTATTACATTTCCAAAATGTTATGCAATTACTGTCTTCCTTTGAAAAAAGAAGAAGAAAATTGGGCTACGTAAATACTGAATGATTCGAGCCGTGTATTCGATTCGCATCGACGAAGGACATAAGCATTTATGGGATAGACACGAAGCAAAAATGCATTGAGAGCATGTCATAAAAATACTTTGATTGTATTTTACATTTTGTGATGGCTGTCACAGGTGCTGGCACCATGTATTCAGTTTCAATGTAAAGTAACGTTTAGTGCAACAACATTTTGGATCAAACTTTTTCTACCTCCACCACTCTTGCTTATTATTAACCAACGAACCGAATTCCTATAACTGATATTTGTATAGAAGTAGCACACCGAATAGTAGGGATGCTCTTTCTTGATGTGCATAAAATTAACGTAGATAGAAGAGTATACAATGTCAAAATCAAGGAAATTGATTTCCCAACACTTTTAAAAGTATATGTATTCACTTACAATTTAAAAACCAAACAACAACAATTAAGAAACGTTCTATCTTTTGTGTGACAATCTTATTATAATGCAAACTATTTAATTAAATATGACTTTTATTCCACGTCTCCTTTCGAACAATTTAAACATAATTTTAAGCAATAAGTTAACAAAAAAAACCATGATTATATACATATAAAATTGTGAAACATCGTAAAATTACTTAACTTATCGAGCAATGTTGCCACTATGCAGTGTACCGGTGCCTGTAACAACGGTTTTAGGCACTGGCGTACACAGTGATATGTTTAGAGGAATTTAGAATTAGAGTTCATTTTCACAAAGATTTACCTTTTTAAGATGAGAACCTATTCAGAATCGTGTTATGTAAATGTAAATGGTCTAAAACTCCATGGGGCGAATCACGCTAGTGAATACTAGAAAAACTAGTAAATCTAGTGTGAAGAATGACGTCACAAACGAAGCCAACTTCACACCAAAGGCCATATAATTCATATGAAAAACTACTGAGAGCCAACTTCACGCACTAGAATTTTCTAGTTTTCTTGTGAAATCTTATCAAAAACTAGATGCACTAGAATTTCGTGATTGACCCATGTAAAATTCTCTGCAAAACTGAAATGAAGTATGTACGCAACCCATAAATTCATTTGCGGAGTCATTTTGACTGTGCGGAGTTTCGCGGAGATGACATACAAACTCTGTGTGTACGAGGGTAACAGCACTTCTATGTGTATCATTCTTAAGCAGATGATTAGTAACTCAGCATTTGCATGCTATCTCCGCCGAACTCCGCACAGTCCCGCCATCGACAAAATTAGTCCGCAAATGGGTTATATGAGAATCAAAACCAAAATTAATACCTTTCTAAAAAACATTGCAGCATGTCAATCACTACTCGATCCAATTATAATCCTGAAAACAATTGAGAATCGAGAATGTGAACAAAAATTACATGGCTGAAATATTTATAGCTGATTATCTCTTTATCAAAATATTTCTTTTTCGAACACTTTATACTTACAATGACCTCACTATCGCATTTATGATCCCAGTTAATGTTGGCCTTTATTCTTGTGACCGTGGAGTCTCTATCGTGAAACTTCCAGAACCATTTGAATTACTATTCAACTGCACTCTTTTACTATTTTATAATTACCGAAATGATGTACAGGTATTTTGTTTCTCTACTCAATGATCAATGGTTATATAGTATCGCCATATTAAAATATGTAAATGAATAACAAACAGAAATGAAATATTGGCGGCGGCAAGGTTATGTCATTTAGGCTGAGTTCGCAGATGCCATTTTGTAGATGATAAGAACATTCATTTGAAGTATTTGTTCTGTAATAGAATGTATAAATGACCAATATGTTTCTTTTGCCAGTCAGTTGCGTAGACAAAAATCTAAATTTTTAAATTAAATGATCAAAATGTAAATTAAAATAAGTGTTTTCCCGTTCGAAATTTACTATACATTTTGTCATATATATTTTTCAAATAGATGAGAAAAATGTTTTTTTTTTTTTGCAAATGCAAGCAATCATATGATAAAATAAAATCACCCCAAAGATAAAAAAATACATTAAAAATAAATTGTACTTTTAACTTTCATTATCAGCCATTTTTCAAAGGCTCATAAGGAAGTCGTTATAAATTGAGGAAATAAATATGCAACTTTCACTATTACCACAATCATACCCGCGTTCGAGTCAACTGGTAAATGGGCCGATCTTGATATTGTTTGATAAGTTTTCAAGATAATTTGATCACACAGATCAGACCGCTGGTAAAGAGTACCTGTGAATAACAGCTATAAATTATCGGTTAACTCGATCCAAGGTTCGCTTGTGATTTCTTAGTTAAGTAAATTCGAATAATATAAAGAAGTTTTAAAGCAAATCAGCAAATGAAACGGTTAATATTTTTAGTACCAAAAAGTCTATTTTTCTGCAAAATTTAAAGAAAATTTTATCTATCAAATTTAAAAAATTATGGGAACAACCAAAATATTAAAATGATAATCCTTTTATTCGCACATGCGCTAAATACAAAGCACATTAATATTTGATTGGCATATGCATATTATATGAAATTATTATCAGCTTGTGCAGAGTATAATCAAGAAAAATGTGGAGCAATACTCTTTAATTGATAGAAATCACACCTTGAAATACAATTCACGTAAACAGATAAGCAATCGTTAATTTACCACTTGGTACACGCATATTACTCCCAATATTCATGTATATTGGACGAATAATGCATATGGCTATTTTGGTTAAGATATTTATGCATAAAAAGAATTAAATCAAATTGTTCCCCCAAACTGTATTTACAACAAAGGTGACATTGGCACTCCAAAAGAAAAGATATCACTACCAATTTGCATTCAAGTTATTAGCAAAGTAGACGCGAACCACGCGTACAATTATACTCAAACAAATATGTTAAAAATCTCTAAAGTCAACAGTTATTTGGCTTTGAATGTGCATACAGAAGGTTTATTTTATAGTAAATTCATGTTCGATTCACTACAAGAATTTGAAAATGGTTTTGCTATAGAAAAACCCTCAGAATATGTTCACAAGTCATAGATGTAGCTAAAAAAATTCTCATAATTTATTAAAAACAGTGAATTTTTCGTCGAGTAAAAAAATTACGTTAAACTTGCCATAATTCAATGAAATGCCTTTCATGATCCAACAACCGATTTTCCAATAAATGATATGTGTTAAATGAAATTGCCGTACAAATACAACATAAATGAACATAAAAATATAAATTCTTTTTTAAAATACCACTATATTTTCCGTACAAGTATTTGTTCACACATAAATAAAACCAGTGTCAATTACTGTCTGAAGAAAAACATTTCATATTGATAATTATATATATATACTTGAAACTGATGTTTATTACCTGATTGTAAAGAATTTGTCCAAATCAATCATTAGATAGAAAAATCAGAAGTCAAATTTCGTACATAAAAACAAAATTACTCAACTAATGTACATTTAATATGTGATTCATGTCATTTCTTACCAAGAGACTATTTTCCGAATGTTGAGTGTTGTTCAATTTGTTGTCAAAAGAATATTAATTGTTGAGAAAAAGTGAAAAAAAGCTCATTTATTGAATGTCTGCTGAAAAGCAAAACTCAATCTCCCTTTCAATTTTTGAAAAATACAAATACTATGAAAAAAACCGGCAAAATCTGTTTTCATCAATCGAATATAATATTTTATTTTAGTGTTTTCAAAAACTTTAGGAAATATGAGCCAGTTTGAGCTATACACTTTCTCGTACATCAGATTCATTGGACGAATCATTTGAGATGGGCGTATCGTTGGTTTTGCATGGGTCTCGTCGATGCCGCGGTAAATTTGATTCCGAACTGGGGTACTGTTCGGTCCAATTTGGATTTTCTGGAAATGCTGGTAAGACTGGTGATAAGGACTTTGGTCGGACATAGTTGAAAATTTCACTTCCACACTCTCTAGTTGGTATAATCATACGATACGAAGAAGGCAATGACCCAAATGATTCTAAAAGAAATATAATTTTTGATCAACTTTACTCTTTAGGCCGATATTAATTTTATAGTCGCATCATAGGCATAATGAGATCGAAAATGTAAATGCTACTTACTATTAATTTATATGGAATGTGTTTGTTCAGCTTCATTTTGCAATATTAAAAGAATACATATGCAAAACAAACAAAGAAACGACAACAACGATAGACGCACAATAAATTTGAATGAAAACAAAATGGGTTCAATACTTACTGGGAGTTTGCATATCTTCTTGTCTTTTATAAAATTCGGCCAATTCATGTGCAGAGCAAAGCGGAGTATCGACTGGAAGTGTTTCATTAAATTTGGAGTAATCGATGTCATAGCCTTGGCGTTCATTGTTGAATCCAACGACCTGTAATACACAATGAAAATTGAAGTGGATGGAAAAACCGAAAAGAAAGAGAAACGAACCGGAAGGAAACGGTGACCCCATAAGACCTCCATATTTAAATAGCTTGAACGTGCTTGAGTCGTCTGACCAGTTGATTCAATCGTACCCTCTAATATCACAACAATTTCAAATTTCTCGTGTAACATGTCCGCCGCCGACATGTTGTAAAATGGCGATGTTTCATCGATTCGATGGACAACAACCATCGGCCAAATGAAGAACAGGTCTGATGCACAGCCATCCGTTCCAATGTCCAATTCAGTTATATACTGTGGATTTAATTCGCCCTCTTTTGTCGAATGTGACCTTATCAATTGAGCTCGAATATTTGCACCAATTATATGACTCTTTCGAATATCACCCACACGGAACATTAAAACCAAATTGTCATCTCTTTGACAAACCACTGCGTACTTTGAAAAGAGCAAAGTTTGTGTTCGTTGCTTTGGGCGAGTCATTTTTGCAAAGACAATACCAGCCATAAATGCTTGCACAAATACACCAAAAATTGATTGAAAACTCATAATAAATATTGCTTCGGGGCACTCCTCCGTAGTTGCACGACCACTAAAATTAAATTCAAGGTTAATTTTGCAAATGGAGCTCGTGGATTTTGGTTTTTGAAAAATTACCCATAGCCTATAGTGTGCTGTGTCTCGATAGAGAACAGTAAGCATGATGCAAAATTATTTATATTTACCACACATGGAATCCAATTACTTGCAACTGAAATTAAATGAAATAAAATTTTGTTCGGTGGTGGTAATAGAAGTGTGCATGATTTCACATACTTTGGTTCGCAGGTAAGTGATTTGCTTCTAAATCACCGTGAGTGACCGCAATGAGCCAATATATTATCGCAAAAAGAAGCCAGGAGAGAATAAATCCCAGAGCAAACACAATTAGGGTCCATCGCCACTGTGAGTCGACGAGTGTTGTGAAAATATCTTGTAGAAATCGTCGCCTTCTTCTTGAAATTTTCTTTGGAACCACATTACATTCACTACGAAATGAGTTATAGATAGAAGAAATAAGTCCACCCAAACAAGATCAAATTCAATGGAAGAATTTACCCATTCTTCAGAACTGCTCGTCGTCTTATTTTTCTATAGCTTCCTGGACGATAATTTCGGCTTCTATTAGATAAAAAACAAATCATTCATTTTTCAAAACTACAAACTAGTAAATAACCGAAACATTGAATTCGTTTCATTGTTCCATTGCTTGTTTATGTTTTTTTTTTTAATTTCATGGACACACTGTCATGTGTTCGATACAACTTTGCACACGAGTCAACACATTTCATCTTATGTTATCTTCTCACAAACGTCTAGCTTACTCGAGCTTTCTTATCTTGGCGTCACGGGGTCATTTATGAGGTGTTTGATAACTCCTATTCTACAGATACTTTAATAATGCGCGAATACTTCAACAATCCCTTTATGATTTCTTCAAATATCGTTAAGAATAATTCGCTACTGAAATTCGATCCACCACTAACCATGAAATTTCATTATTATCTGTCATACTCGAAAAATATTTAATATCAGACAAATACAAAAATAATATTTACATGATGACCTTTCTTAGTTCATTGCTTTGAGAAAAAAAAACTCTCTTTCATGCGGCGATCGAGCAAAAGGTAATAAATTTTTTATCACTTTATATTACGATGATAGAGTCCAATAAAATGAAATAGGAGCACGCGTAAAGAAATTGATGGAAAGTTTTCATTGAAATGGTCATACGTTATTTGCTTTAATTTTGGAATTTGAATTTTAAATTTGGAAACTCGGAATCACACCTCATTATTCTTTTTATCATATTTGTTCGTACCTCCGTGAGCTGGTCGATTGAATTGTTGTATAATAGGCTCCCGGTGAAGGTAGTGTGTCATATGGATTCGGCGTAACTGGCGTATTTGGCCAAAGCTGTACTTTCGGCGAAAGCGTTAATAAATGTCGGTCTTCATCACGAATTGAGTCGGGCGAACCTGAATCTTGATTTGTACCACTTTTTTCATCCATCATTTGGTATATCAAATGTCACCGTTTCGTTTGGTATATCAAATATTTTTGATCACACGCAACTGCAATCAACTGAATTACGATATTATTATCTTTCAATTAGAACGCTTTGTTGAGAAATAGTTTGAAAATAATTTTGGATGTACATTTAATTATACATTTTGCTTCTTCTGCTTTTTTCCAAGACAAAATTGAAAAATTTCACACAAAATTCTATTTAACTAGAATGGGCGCGAATCAACACAAACTGACACTGTTTTTGATACAGCGACGTTGAAGAGCTCATTCGGACTGCGATTGTGAACTGTGCTTATCACTCGCCATTTCGTTATTTTTGCTCTTATTCCACCTTATCACATTCTACATTTTCAATGTACAGATGGGCAAATACAACAATTTCTATGTTTTTCACTCATCACGAATGGGCGGTCCTAATTGATGTGAACGCACTAAATAAATGACTGAATGCGTACATTCTCACGAAAAAGTAAATCAGGAAATGATTGAGCCGACATGTATTTTAAATGATTATATTAATAACAAAAAATATTACGAGAGAGGCGATTTTTTGTTTGTTTGCTGTCCTTTTCGTGAAATGTAAACAGCCGCGACTTGTGTCATTTGTTCAAGAGCTACTTGTAAAAACATGTGAAATACAATATTTCTACTCGCAATTTTTGTATTATTTATATTTCATTTCATGACTTTTTTTTATCGATTGGTATAGTGAATCATTTCTTTTCAGTTGGTTGTCAATTTATTTGACCAAGCAATGAATGTGTGAAACAAGAGGCTGGCCAATTTTATTCAAAAAAACTTTAGTATTTAGTATTTACCTTGAACTGAATACTGGAAATATTTCGAATGTGCATTTCATTTGCATTGTTTTATAAAAATAATTCGCATTTCAGAACAATAAAAGACTCATTTTATTTAAAATACTATCAACATCTAAAGAATAAACATTTTAATCTGCTATTTTTTTGAACTATGCACCTTCTCAGAGCATTTCCGATTCATTAATTGAATCATATGAGATGAACGTTGTTATATCATTGGCTTGAACTTGCCTTCTTAAATTGGAATCAGAGCTGGTATGTTCGATCCAGTTTGGATTTTCAGGAAATGTTGGTAAAACTCGTGATAAAAATTTTGGCCGAATATAGTTGAAGGAAATTTCACTGCTACATTCTCTAATTGGCGCCATCACTTTGTACGGTGACGAGCTGCATGATTCTGAAGAAAAAACAGTCCATTAAAACATTTGGATCAAACTTAATTCTAAAAAATTAAACACAAACTAGCCATTCTGAGGACGAAAACATGCATATTACTTACAATCGATTTATATGGCTTTAATTTTTAATTGATGTTGATGCTGTTATGGATTGATCGTCGTTGGCAGGATATATTTGTTCGGCTTCAGTTTTCGACATTAAACAAACACATAAACGGACAAATATATAAATAATGAAATGTTTAATACTTACTGGGAGTTTGCATATCCTCTTGAATTTTATAAAATTCAGCTAATTCACGTCCAGAGCAAAGCGGAGTATCGACTGGAAGTGTTTCATTGAATTTGGAGTAATCAATATCGTAACCTTGACGATCGTTGTTGTATCCAACAACCTGTAATACAGAATGATAATTGAAATTTCACGAGGAAAGATGGCAAAATATAAAGTGATTTTAAAAAAACTGACTGGCAAGAAACGGTGACCCCATAAGATCTCCATATTTAAATAGCTTGAGCGTGCTTGAGTCGTCTGACCAGTTGATTCAATCGTACCCTCTAATATGACAACAATTTCGAATTTCTCCTGTAACATGTCCGACGCCGACATATTGTAAAATGGCGATGTTTCATCGATGCGATGGACAACAACCATCGGCCAAATAAAGAACAGGTCTGATGCACAGCCATCCGTTCCAATGTCCAATTCTGTTATATACTGTGGATTTAATTCGCCCTCTTTTGTTGAATGTGACCTTATCAATTGAGCTCGAATATTTGCACCAATTATATGACTCTTTCG